AGACTGAAAGAATGGAATAATTTGTAATATTATTAATCGGTTGGTCAGTGAAATGACAATGGTTAGCCTGATTAAACATCAATATTTATATAATCAATATAACGTAATGTGACCGCGGGGAAGCTCATACAAGCTTGGAGTGCAGTGTAATGGAGTAGCTAATTAATGTACAATTAATTTTCTGTCTCGGCGATCGTATATTATCGTCCTCCTCGCCAGTGTGTACTGATAACACTATCACGCGAGTTCGCCTCGTGTAGCATACATAATCATAGCCATTCAACATTAAGTGCAACACACCATATCAGTTGCCCGGGAAATTACATAAAAAGTTCACGTGCGAGACGTCATGCACGTGCATAAAATCACAACAAACATTGATCATTAAACTAAAGAGTTACTGTTGATTATTTTTTCACTCAGTTTTGATAAGTGCTTTGGTACAACATTATATCAATAACATATTACCCACAGGGCCTAAATACAAACAAATAATCTATTAGCAATATTTAATTGACGATGTGATAAGTTACTATGAAATGGTGTTCATATTCAAATACATATAATAATGTGTTAAATATTGATGTCCTCTTACAGGTACTGTTTACCTGGAACTTTTGGAGGTTGTAATATCATACGATTTAGATCTAAGAAAATGAAAGTAAATTGTAAGAAATTAAATTTGCAATCATAGCTAATCTTCTGACCTTTCCGTCTAACAGCGCAGAAAGTGATTCCATCTCATTTAGGAATTTGATAGTGATGTGGGTAAACGCTTTATCTGCACACATTAATTACAAAGTCAAGTATGTCCAAGTGAATATTTGGGATAACACGTCGACGTTGGTAAGTTATTTTGACATGTGTGTATTAAAATCTCTATTGGCGTAGGAACTGACTGATTACGGTCGGAAGTTTGCAATATCAAAGTTCTGACGGAGTTTATTAGCAGGATGGGTCAAATCTCTGTTATAGATTTTGTAAAAGTTGAACGTCAAAAATTGTTCATCTGAGGAGTGATAGAATTAAGAACTACAATCGTTGTCATAGTTCACCAGCGGGTCGAACAACCGAAATGGTCACACTGACATTTGCAACGGTTGTACAGAAGTCTGCTTACATGACCATCAGCTCATGCCTTGTACTACAGAAAGCCTGTTGTAAACACGACACACAGAGAAACACGTACAATTAGGTCCTATCGAATAATGTTAATTAAAAATAAGCCAGAACATCCTGTCTCTGTTTGGCGTATCATATTCCGGATCTTAAGAATCCGTCATCCCATTTATCATACCCTAATTTTACACTCCCTGACAACCTTCGTCCAGGATGATACATTTCCTTATCGATATTGACCAATGCAATTTGACCAGTGAGTGACCCGGAGTTTCACACCCCTAATAATCTCAAGTCGTTAGGGGCTTTATTACTACTTTAATGGGAAACATGTGCAAGTGTGTGGAATTCCACAGATCCAAGCTGCATCCACCTGACAGTTCTTGAAAGATTTCATGAAGTCGGTTCTACAAAACTAACACATATGTTTGGTATTTAAAATTTACGTGTTTGTGATGCAACACATTTGAAATTTCCCTTCTGCAAAGCAATCTAGAACAGGCCATTTCTGCTCTAGAAGAAAATGGAACCGTTGTGTTTTGGTGTCAGGAGTATGTAAGCTTAAGGATGTTGAAAACAACCTTAGAATCGTTTCCTTCGTTGTTAACGCCGAGACGAAGACAAACATATTACATAGGAACTAGAAATAGAAAAACACATAGAGATTGTACAACTCACACAAGTAGTGAGCTTTTTTGTGCTAATTTAGATTAAGATACAGAAGAGCCAAACAATTAATAAATATCCACTATACAGCTATTTTATCTTTCTAAGACTCATTAGTGACGTTAAGGGCATACGTTTTGATGTCTAGGAGGCGACTAAGGAAAATACATAATGGTCGAGAAAAGTCAAAATCTGGATGGGAAGGTGCACTGTCCACATAATGCAATGAATGATTTTCATATTTGCCATAATGTTAGAAGAATGTCAGTTACATGTGTAACCGTGCCTCAATTCAAATTAAAATGGAATGAAATAAAGCGTAGTATACAAGGTTCGGCAAACATGGTGACTAAAAGTTCACCAGCTGTGTCGAACGTCACCACAGTAGAACAAGTAGTACAGGGTACAGTGACAATACAAAATGACATAAACTACATCAAAACGTTGACACACGAAGTAAAATGAAAACAGGGGCAGAAAACCAAAACGGGCGTTACGTTAACGTCTTTTTTCATCAAAGAAGTCTTGCAAGAATTTGTCAACAGGTTATGTGAATTGTGTTCGTGTTAGAATAATGAAAGCCCTCAGTAACGTTTTGATTAGGTTGACTTGTATCAAGGTCCGCCCCGGGGATGTATACGTTCTTCTGGTATGGACCTGCATGCTTGAACGTCAGTGATAAAATTGACTGATACCAGTCATTTGGAGCATGGTTTAGGAAGCTGAAAATGAAAGAAAAAGTTTGGTAAATATAAAGATATAAAATCTTATATATATCCTAAATATAAGTGTAGTATCTATGTTTATTCCGGTCTATTTGAAGGGTCATCCATCAATATCAGAAAACGTTACACGGTGGGGAATTAGTTGTAAGTAAACCTCTTATAGCCTACAAATTTAAGGCAACAGTTTCATCATTTTTTTAATGGGTACCAATTAGTGTTCCAGAAACTGTCTACTTAGTAACCGTAAGTAAATAAATACACGTGCAGGATTACTTTGGACTTGTCGTAAATACCAGGAGACGGTCGATTTAGGTGCACTTAGCATGTGCATATGCACATTCTGGTGCACATGGTAAAGGGGCAACAGGTACGTATGAATCAAATAAAAAATATCTTTATCCAAAATAATATCTTTATTGACTTATATGCTTGTCGTGCTTCGAAATCTTATTCACTCTCGGAGCACTCCTGAGTAAAAAATCATATATATATAATAGATTGGTGCTAACGGACAATCGATTCAATAGCTCACTAATTACATTTTGGTCAAGATGGTCCATTACTTGGTTAACTAGTTGGCACGAAAAGACTTTACAAAATGCAACATGGAGATGATGATCCCGTACTTGACTCACTGTGACGTGGAGATGATGACCCCGTACTTGACTCACTGTGACGTGGAGATGATGACCCGTGCTTAAGTCACTATGACGTGGAGATGATGGCCCCGAACTTGACTCACTGTGAGGTGGATATGATGACCCCGTACTTGACTCACTGTGACGTGGGGATGATGCCCCCATACTTGACTCACTGTGAGGTGGATATGATGACCCCGTATTTGACTCACTGTGACGTGAAGATGATGACCGCGTACTTGACTCACTGTGACGTGGAGATGATGACCGCATACTTGACCCATTGTGACGTTGATATGATGACCCGTGCTTGACTCACTGTGATGTGGAGATGATGGCCCCGAACTTGATTCACTGTGACGTGGAGATGATGACCCCGTACTAGACTCACTTTGACGTGGAGATGATGACCCCGTATTTGACTCACTGTGACGTGGAGATAATGTCCCGTGCTTGACTCACTGTGAGGTGGATATGATGACCCCGTACTTGACTCACTGTGACGTGGAGATGATGACCCGTGCTTCATTCATCGTGAAGATGACCCCCCTTCCTGGCTCAATGTAACGATGTTGCCATACTTTCGTGACTACACGTTTCCAACGCGACAAGTGTAGATATAAATGTATCATGCCTTCCATACTATCTCGGTTCCGTTTGCGCTCATTATAGGTGATAACATTTACACCTACTGTCTTTCACACGAAGTCCCTCATGGTGCTTTGAAGCATTGCGGAAGAACATGAGAGACATATTTATATTGATAATTTTATCCTTTTGTTGGGTCGATCTTGACCTGCTGATGAACTGCTTTAACATTGCTAGGACTTTGATGATTATCAGTGTCTTTGAAGCTCACCTCGAACGTCTCGAAAGAAGTCAAGCGTTTCACTGACATGAATCAAATAATAATCAAATTGAATGCGGAACAGACGGTACGGACTATCTTTGATTAACTGACATAAATAATTCATTGCGGTATGTACTACACTCGCTACAAAATATCATGACAATGTACCGAAGGTATGTTTATAGCTCGACTGGTCTTGAACCAATTAATCATCTGTAACATTAAACAGCACTCAAGTTTTTTTTGTTAAAAAAATAATCAGTCAAAGTAAAATGGAGGATGATTTGTTTTGACAGCAGCCATATTGTCTTCTTTCCCGTCACCTGAAGCGTGTCTTCAGAATGGCGATGTTTTTGTTTTTGTTTTTTTTGTTTTTTGTTTTGTTTTGTTTTTAAAAAGAGTAATACCGTCAAAGAGTATATATTTTTATGTTCAGTTTTTTTATTAATTAATGCTATCCAAACAAACATTTGAGTGATACCAGAAATTAAAACAGAAGTAATGGAGGTCGTTTTGCTACATCAAGCGCTGTACCAAAAGGCGCCGCCTGTTATTCTTATACATGATCGTTTCTTCACCCTCCACTAGTCATGTTCAGGTCGAGGTAAGAAAGACTATGGAATATACCAATGTTGCATTCAATCTTATTTGTTATCGAGCAAACCCAGTCTTTCAAAGATAGAATTTCAGAGAACGCACATTTTTTCAACAGGGATTTAAGACTATGTGGCAATTTTTGTAATGTTATCATTTTCCAAACAATAAACTAATTAGTTATTTATCACTGACCATAAAGGTTGCCGTGAAACTGTATGTTGAGAGAGGACTGCTGTTTATCTGGAAAGAATGTTTATGAGTTTATATAGTTATGTCCCCGGTAACATTGTAGATAAACCACACACAAGCTGCTAGATAGGTCAAACTCGTTCATAGTCTTGGCGATGAATGCACACAACAACGAATAATGATTGCTGAAATTATAACTTTGGACAACAATACTTAAAACAAAGAAGCCTTTGGTTTAGAAATCCCGGAACATTTGCTAGAACGGAACGTCCAGAGGAGGTACCGAACATGCTTGTGTATTTGCATGGTACATGTAGAAGAGGTGCCGAACATATGGAAATATGATGTGCACAATTTGCCTTTGAACAGGCGTACCCATTATCAGAAATCTCCCTTAATTCATTTTCATGAAAGAAACGTTTGATTTGAAGATGGTTGCCTTTATCTCTACTACAGGTCAAATCTTGTATCGTTCGGAATATTTCACGTATGCGTGTGAAGTTACAAAAAACTCAAAACAGCATTCCTTTGGTATTAAGAACTCCTCGTCTGCTACTTTAAAACAAAAATGAAAAAAAAAACTGGTTTAGAGAGTACATTGTTTGCTAAGAGAACATTTTCAAACAAAACCCTTCATGTAAAAAGTGTACTGTCTGCCATTCTGTTTATATTGCGGCATAATGACTAGCACATATCTATTTTGTATGTATTGAGTTTATTACTTTCTCTTGAAAGCTCCATTTTTTTTACATGCAACTGACCGAAAATGAATTCCACAATCATTCTCTCTTTGATAAGTTCATCTACTTTCGAGATTTCAGAAGACATATATTAATTTTCCGTAGCGTGGCGGCCATCGAGGTTTATTTCATGGCAGACATTTTGAAGTACCAACATGTAGCTTGTTAGTATGGACAGGTGCTTGACAATCAAGTATCCGTAAAACGACTGGGACACTCAGAATGTATTGTGTTTTAATAACTAAGTGCTTTTATCTCATACCAACAAGTGTAATCAACATTCCAATGTCTGTATGCTATTGGTTAATAATTCGTAGTTTTTTTTTAGAAAACAAAACATTTTGTCCCAACTTGTCTCTAAAGCCCCTTGTTTTCCTGTCTATTCATTAGTTGCGTTAAGTATTTGTGGCCCGTTCTAAAGTATGCGTAATAAAGTATCCCTGCTTTCAAAACAGAGCCAGACCAAAACTCACACGTCATTGGTCGATTTCTAGTATATTGGCGACCAATGAGACAAGATCCTTTGTCACATGACTGATTTTTCAGTCCATTGAACCATATAAACAACATCTTTGGAGCGTTATTTTCATCAATAGACGATCGAGACGCCATGATTAAATGTAATATGTGATACTTGGTATCAAAATAATAAAAAATACTTTATATAATTCAATCCTCAAGTGCAGCTTAAATGATTACATCCAACATATAATTGTTTTTACATAATCAGTATGAGAGCGTATTATTTATCCAATCCTGTACTTGAAATAAAAGCTTGTTGATAGTATAACCCGATTCAACTGATGAACAATTTGACATTCACGTGACAGTCAATCAAATTTTATGATTGTCTTTCAACCTGGTTCTAGAATGGAATGATGAGAAACACCAGGGATTCATCGTCAATGGTCGTTCAAAATGATACGGGAGGTCACCACTTTGATTTCTTAGTCTGTGCCATCATAATTGCAGCAGATTAAAGACGACATCATCTGGAGCCCGGATGTCTCGAGAAAGGCTATTCTAGCCTCCTGGAGGAGCCTAGGTGTAGGACCGGCGATTACCGTAATCTATTTAGTACCTCATCTAGCATCCTTACTTTATCGTCATTTGGAATTTTTATCACCTGTTAAAACACCATTGGCTGTTGAAATTTAATTAATGTCACAATCAACCACAAGGTTCCCATTAAAATTGTGTCACTCGCCCAGATAGAGTTTTTAGTTGATTGCAATTATCACTTACTCTTAATGGTTTTTAAACTTCAAAAACAGGAATTTCATTCGATTTATTGTTAGCAGAATAGTTCATTACGAAATTCTATCCTCTTCAAACAACCTTCCTGATCTATCGAGAAATGGAGGGTATCGTCCTTGAACTGGAATAGAGAATTAAAGACAAAGGTACGAAGCTTTACTTGTGAAAAAATATAAGGATTTTGTGCCAACCCTATTGAAAGTTTGAGTCGTGTAGGAGAAATTGCATAGAAGAGAAATAGAAAAATATATAAGAGGACGAACAACCTGACACCAACTTTACCTATTTATTATACTGCAACAAAATCATAAACATTATCTGCTGGTTCTTTTTCATCGTCATCACTTTGTGTATACTTTCCAAATGTGTCATCTTTTCGTGTGTACCTTCTCGATGTGTCATCAGTTCTTGTGTGCCTTTCAAATGTGCCAATAATTCTTGTGAATCCTTTTCAAATTATCCTCTGTGCCTTCATATACGTTTTTGAGCACAAGATGTTTTTGAAATGCCACATTGCCGATTCAAGTAAATCTTCCCTTACCATTTACAAAAAAAATAAATGTTAGAATTTATGTTTCCATCATAATAGTGTCTCTTGTTTTTTTAGGTATCGGCCATGATATCACACACTCCACGACAGTCCACGGAGAACTCTTCTATCCTGACTCTCCCTCCAACATATCACTCTCCATTCTCAAAAAGAGAGACGGGCGTTGGGGCGACGTCACTCAGTACCCCTGCGACACTACCCTTGTGTAAGTACGAAATGCCCTCTACATGACAACGGAAATTGCAATATAAATTATGAGTACATTTGTATAAAATTTCGCTTTTCTGCCATGAACTTTGCGTATAAGTAAGAAGCGGAAACATCTATATCGACATTTGTATTAAATGTCTGTCACAAAGGAAAAGTAACAAATTATATCTCAAGGAAAAAATGCGCAATTCCCTTGCAAAATTTTCATACAAGTTCAAACAATACAATGCCTTGTTATACCGTTCTACAAAGCAAACTATATTGAAGTTTATACCCGGGCATCTTGGCAGTGCTTTCATCATGTAATATGAACAAAGCGCGAACGCATCGTTTCATCACGTGGAATCCTCTTTGAACGAAGATGAACATGTTATCTTTGATTCTTAAGAAATATGAGCTCAAACAACTGGCCATGTATTAATCACATATCTCAGTACTGCCCGAAACAAAGTGACTACACATTAGAAAAGACAGGTGATTTTTTTTATAATGATGAGCTTCTTGATTATTTCGAAACTATGCGTTCAACTTTCAAACGTGATGATCCAGTTGATAACTTAAACGTATTTCAAGAAATAAGAAGAGAGTCTGTAAGCTGGGGGAACCTGTCTAGATGGATGTTATTTGAAGTAACATTAAACGAACATGATATAATCCAATGGCTGAAAGGCTTCAGATAATCTAGTATCAACATTGCTTCAGGATATAGTACATAAATATATGCCCAATACTTTCTTAAAATAACCGAAAGAATTTCTTCTCTTAGGTGACTACTTAGACTAAATATCGCCTGGATCTGTATTTAAGCTGCACTAAATATGCACTTGTCCTGTATAAAATATTGACCTAAACATGAACAAGTATGTGCTAGACCTGTACATTATGGTGACTGTCGTCGATGAGTGTTGTTATCATTCAATTTTGTTTCGCCCCCACCTCCCTTTTACCCTAGTTCTGTCTTAAGTGTTGACGTTGCATCATGTCTTTGTGTACTGCCGCTATGATCCATCTCCTCTGTTTCAATCTAGATAAGGGCATTATATTTCTGTTATTCTGAATGGCGTTACTCTGGCCTTGACATGGCTTTATTGCCTGTATGTAAAAAAAAATACAACATTATGAATATAGGTTCAGTATTCATGCACTTGAGGCTTTATAATGAACTGTACAACTCTATACATAAAATCTTGTAGGATTTAGGCACCAAAATGTTTAACTGCCCAGACAGATTGCGTTTATCCTGTTAAGCAGTTATTCGTGAAGCGAGACATTTTGTAAGGCAGACAAATTTGTAAAGAGATGTCGAGTATAATTCTGGATTAGTGGATATTGCAGCAATTCAGCATCTGTATCATCACAGCCTGGAACGTAGTAGCACTACTCATGTTTTCAGGACCGGAATATATTTTTAAAATGTTAAACGTTTATATATAATTGTGAGGTATTCTCTGTAAGCACAGACAATTTGTGTGAACACGAGCAGTATGTAATGAGAGATATTAGGAGTAGTTTAGCGGCGTAAACGATACCATGTAGAAATATCATGCATTTCAACAGCCGACGTTAATTCCAGTGGATTCCTGTGTAAGAATATCCATTTTCATAAAGTAAGGATGACAAATCATTTCTATCTAGCGCAAACACACAACAGTGGAAGAAAGATTGTGGAGATAATTTTGTTCGTGAAGAATGCCATGCTACAGAATTTCAACCTATCTTTGACAAAAATGTCATCAACTCAAAGTAATCAGTTTTGCGGGAAAGCCACCCTTCAGGTTAGCGTGCCTCAATAAAAACATCTACAGGCCAGCAATCTTTAATGATAATCTTTTTCACAAAAGCAAATGCCTACAACCCCAAATATCCATTAAGTCCAGTTTATTAGAGCTAATTCTAAATGTGAATGGGAAGGTGTTATTCACTTGTGTGGAGTAAATCTCTTCATGTCTGCGACTCTAAATAATAACATTTAATGATATAAAAAAATTACAATGATCACTCAAAACTAGCAATCCGAAATAAGAATGTCTTTTTTTTGGTCGCATAAAAAGAGATTTCAAAGCATCAAAACCTTGAATAAAAATCCTTTACTATCTGCAGACACACATTATAAATTATAATTTAAAAAAATAACTTCGTACCAGCAATTCGATGTTATTTTCTTAATAGCTGAGAAAATCTAAATAATTATCTCAGCATGTCTAAATCAGAATATCTAAGCTCATTAACTCAACATCTTAACGTCAGCATCTCAAGCGTTTATTTCTTATCGTTAGCAAATCTACACGATAATATCAAAAAGTCAACAACTTGTAGTAAAGTAGTACGCCTAGTAATCCTATATTAGAACAGTCGCCATACTCCTAGTAATCCTATATTAGAACAGTCGCCATACACCTAGTAATCCTATATTAGAACAGTCGCCATACTCCTAGTAAGTAATACGCCTAGTAATCCTATATTAGAACAGTCGCCATACACCTAGTAATCCTATATTAGAACAGTCGCCATACACCTAGTAATCCTATATTAGAACAGTCGCCATACTCCTAGTAAGTAATACTCCTAGTAATCCTATATTAGAACAGTCGCCATACTCCTACTAATCCTATATTAGAACAGTCGCCATACTCCTAGTAATCCTATAATACGCCTAGTAATCATATATTAGAACAGTCGCCATACTCCTAGTAATCATATATTAGAACAGTCGCCATACTCCTAGTAAGTAATACGCCTAGTAATCCTATATTAGAACAGTCGCCATACTCCTAGTAATCCTATATTAGAGCAGTCGCCATACTCCTGGTAAGTAATACGCCTAGTAATCATATATTAGAACAGTCGCCATACTCCTAGTAAGTAATACTCCTAGTAATCCTATATTAGAACAGTCGCCATACTCCTAGTAATCCTATATTAGAGCAGTCGCCATACTCCTAGTAATCCTATATTAGAACAGTCGCCATACTCCTAGTAAGTAATACGCCTAGTAATCATATATTAGAACAGTCGCCATACTCCTAGTAATCATATATTAGAACAGTCGCCATACTCCTAGTAATCATATATTAGAACAGTCGCCATACTCCTAGTAAGTAATACGCCTAGTAATCCTATATTAGAACAGTCGCCATTCTCCTAGTAAGTAATACGCCTAGTAATCATATATTAGAACAGTCGCCATACTCCTAGTAATCATATATTAGAACAGTCGCCATACTCCTAGTAATCCTATATTAGAACAGTCGCCATACTCCTAGTAATCCTATATTAGAACAGTCGCCATACTCCTAGTAAGTAATACTCCTAGTAATCCTATATTAGAACAGTCGCCATACTCCTAGTAAGTAATACTCCTAGTAATCCTATATTAGAACAGTCGCCATACTCCTAGTAATCCTATATTAGAACAGTCGCCATACTCCTAGTAATAATCCTATATTAGAACAGTAATACTCCTAGTAATCCTATATTAGATCAGTATTAGAACAGTCGCCATACTCCTAGTAAGTAATACTCCTAGTAATCCTATATTAGAACAGTCGCCATACTCCTAGTAATCCTATATTAGAACAGTCGCCATACTCCTAGTAAGTAATACTCCTAAGTAATACTCCTAGTAATCCTATATTAGAACAGTCGCCATACTCCTAGTAATCCTATATTAGAACAGTCGCCATACTCCTAGTAATCCTATATTAGAACAGTCGCCATTCTCCTAGTAATCATATATTAGAACAGTCGCCATTCTCCTAGTAATCCTATATTAGAACAGTCGCCATACTCCTAGTAATCCTATATTAGAACAGTCGCCATACTCCTAGTAATCCTATATTAGAACAGTCGCCATACTCCTAGTAATCCTATATTAGAACAGTCGCCATTCTCCTAGTAATCCTATATTAGAACAGTCGCCATACTCCTAGTAATCCTATATTAGAACAGTCGCCATACTCCTAGTAATCCTATATTAGAGCAGTCGCCATACTCCTGGTAAGTAATACGCCTAGTAATCCTATATTAGAACAGTCTCCATACGCCTAGTAATCCTATATTAGAACAGTCTCCATACTCCTAGTAATCATATATTAGAACAGTCGCCATACTCCAGTAATCCATATATTATATCTAATCCATATATTAGAACATACTCCTAGTAATCCTATATTAGAACAGTCGCCATACTCCTAGTAATCCTATATTAGAACAGTCGCCATACTCCTAGTAATCCTATATTAGAACAGTCTCCATACCCCTAGTAAGCAATACGCCTTTTGTAATCCTATATTAGAACAATCGCCATACTCCTGGTAAATTATACGCCTAGTAATCCTATATTAGAACAGTCGCCATTCTCCTGGTAAATTATACGCCTAGTAATCCTATATTAGAACAGTCTCCATACCCCTAGTAAGCAATACGCCTTTTGTAATCCTATATTAGAACAATCGCCATACTCCTAGTAAGTAATACTCCTAGTAATCCTATATTAGAACAGTCTCCATACGCCTAGTAATCCTATATTAGAACAGTCTCCATACCCCTAGTAAGCAATACGCCTTGTAATCCTATATTAGAACAGTCGCCATACTCCTAGTAAGTAGTACGCTTTCTGTTGTACTTGTTCAAATTATGAATTTTCTATTTTTTGTTGCAGGGACAGCCTCTTCATCATCGTAAGCGGCCTGTATGCTATGCTTGTCGTTGTGATGGGTTGTGTGATGCCTATAGCGGATATATTTGCTACAAAACCGATGCCGTATTTATTTGAGGTGATTCTTATACTCTTGATAATTGCCAGAAATTTCTCGGTTTGATATTACTATCAACAAAGTGACAAAATGATGAAGAATATGTAATTTTAAAAAAAAAATGTATGCAGAGTCCTTTGTTAATCAGTTTGTTTTGTTTTGCAGGGGTTTTACATATATCTTTATTCTGTGAGCATAATATTCCTTGTATACGCCTACGTGTATTTGCTGCAAAACAAGACAGTTCGTCTGCGCAAGAAGGTCAAACGACGGATGAACTCACCGGATTCAAATGGGTCCACTTCCAGTCGGAAGCGGAAGTACTCATTTGATGTATCCCGCACATACAATACCGGAAGTTTCTATCTAAGATTAGGAGCCGTAGGTACGTTGTTGCATTGTAAACATGTGGAGAAAGTAAGATGAGTTTTGAAGAAAATTAATATTTAATGACAAATTTAGTTGATGTTTAACAACATTTTATCAAACTTCAACCCAATGATTAAAGCTCATTTTCAACATTGTTAGCTTTCGGTGTGTTTGGAGTTTTTTACCATATTTTAGCGAAGTAAGAATTTTAATGTTTTAATTTCAGCTTTTGGTGTTGGGAGTATGATACAGAGCGGCCTTCACTTTGGGCAGTTCTTTTACTCAGAGTCGTTCTCGTCCTGTAGTGACCCTGTCCACGGGGTCAGGCCTCTCCTACAGCTCAGCTTTACATTTATACAACTCTACTTTGTCTTCCTCAACTCTAAGGTAAGTACACGTCTTTCATCTTCATCCAATAATCTGTTGAATAGTTTTTCGTATACAAGGTCTGTCCAGTTATGACACCTGATATGTAATCTGTCGTTGAAAGACTTCCGTTTTCATACATTCAGTTTCCAATGTTGGCCGTCGTTCTTCCAAACTCCGCTAATGTTTTCAATCATGAATTTCCTTTCTTTATTGGTATTCGTTTTTCGTTGCAACTAAACCATAATGGGTGGACCCAATAGATGCTTTATTCATTAAATGATTTTTAAAGAATTGTCCAGACTATAATATTACACCGCAGAGGATAGTAAGATTGTAAAGACAAGGAAATACACCAGACAGCGTTTAACATAGGCTCTGATGGATGAAGTCCTCTATGTCCTCCGGTGAAAGGAAAAAAGTCGATCACGTTAGCCATAACAATGATTTACTGGCGACTTTTCACATTTCCTTGGGCATTGTTTGGGAGATCATTATCACCGTCTATCTTTAACAAGTGTCTGGAACAGTTACTACTCGCCAACACTACCAAATAAACAGATGCTTCGAAAAGCTGACATTTTTTTTACACAGAGATGCTTGTCGTTTTGCTGTCACGAATGAATTTATACATTATGTAATCATGGTATGGAATTACTGTAAAATCATGACTTTTCGTGGGTAGTTTATTTTCGTTGAATTCGTCGTGGTTACTCTTAATCCGCGAATAAATGTGGCCGATAAACCAATGAAAATTGACATGGATTTTAGTACTAGTCGTGAATAATACATATCCATGAAATCAAAATGCTTACGATAACGTATATTTTTGGAAAACCACAAAATTGAGATAAACGAAAATATATGACTTTACAGTAAGCGATATATTTCATGAATGATGGAAACATTAAATTGGTTACCATCTTATGAACTGTCGTCACTTTTGTCATTAAATAATTACTAATATTATTGAATCAGAATATAAAATAGTTTAATCTTTAATATAAGCTTTTACTGAGGAGAGTAGGTGTGCAGTGTTTTTAATTGCTTATCCGGTATTCCTGGTGGGTGGTCTCCGGCTACAATGAAGAATTCTGGGTTGGAATTCTAATCCGCCTGTATTATCGAAACGTTTAAAATGTGCTACACCAAGAATGATTCCATTTTGAAACATTATCAGCTCCGTAAAATTTGTTGAACTCCTTTTGAAAAGATTGTTTTTGATCACCTAAACAGCCCTCACAAGTCACAACACAAACTTGTTAGATAATATTTTTGACAATTGTTTACGGAAACAGACACAGTTTGTTGCATAAATGAGTAAAACGACCATCACCTCATCATCGTTACAAGCAGTAATGAGAGGTAATCTACCATTGTCATGTAAAAGAACAATAAACGTTATTGAAGTGTTGGTATAATTTACATACTGTGGCGACTTACCATTAACAAAGATCAGAAGAGAGAACTTTTATTCATATCTTGTACATGGAATGGTGGTCTGTCACGAACCACGTGTCACGGTTGGTCATAGTACTGAGTGGCAAGAAATAGACCAGTATGGCTTCTCCTGGTCTTATATCACACTCCCACGTAACCAATTACACAACACCCATCTGTCATTTCCGGTAATTTGTAATTTACATAAATGTATATGCAATCTTAACATGAAACAGATAATGAATATACACAGGCGTATAATTTGGCATGAAAACAAATGCTATTATAAGAGATATAAAGAGATGTACTAGTTACGAGCCCAGACGATATAAATTTGTTGTCGCACTAAACATCTGGGAAGCCCGTTAATGTCTGAGATTGGTTAGTGTAGTCGTTACTTATCGTCGTTACTTACCAGTTATCTGACTAAACTGATAGGCATTAGTTTAAACTTTTGTTTTATTTTTTAAAAATTCATACATGAAAACGTTGCTGTTGTGTAGAGGGGAGTGGAAAACAAGCTCATGTTTTCCCCTGTGATATAAAGTTACATTTTCTATAGAGATCAATTAGGTAGCAGAATATGATAATTGTATTCATATCATTATCATGTTAAGGACTGACAAAGGAACACATGTTGTCTATCAGACAACCAAACCCAACAATCCTTCTATATATAATAGTTAAGTGAAATAAAAATTACTGAATGGAAACTTTTTCGTAATTTTGATTTATTGCATAGTGTAGTCGCACAACCAAACTTTCTGAACACGCGCATTTTTTGGTAGTTTTCATCAATATAGGATGTCAGTTTTCGTTTATCAATTTGTCTTAATGGACTAGGATTAAACCTTTCGACGTCTGTTTTTGTCTCGATATATGCTTGAAATACTGTTAAATCATTGATTTTCGGGGGGCTTTTATTTTCGTTGAATTCGTGGTTACTCGTAATCAACAATACATATGTCCACCAAATAAATTGATAAAATTATTTTTAGTACCGGTGGATTCCGAGAGGTTTATCCACGAAATAAGATATTAGCGAAAATGTGTATTACTAGAAAACCACGAAACTTCAGCCAAACGAAAATGTATGATTTTGCAGTATCACAACATTCAAAGTGCTGACGAAAAGGTTTATCTGCATAAACGGACAACACCAGGTTGTATTACGATGTTGCTACATGTATATATAAACACTGCTACGGGTTTGGACGATCTGACTTCCTGATCCAGAATACTAACACCTGTATGTTCTCTACCCTAATTCTAGCCATATGAGTGCCATCAACATCAAAGTATATACAAAAAATATGGTCGCCCCGCCCAGCACGCGTGTACAACGGTACAGCAGGGGTCGGTCGGGACTACCATCGCTGTACTGTTGTATAGGAGACTCGTATCGTGTTATTTAACAATTCATATTTCATGTTTATGATTTCTATCCAGCAGGTCAACAGGCCATTAGCAGTAAATTACATAGACTTCATCTCACCCAAACTGAATGTGAAAAATGCTTCCAAATTAATCATAATGTTTACACTTGTTTTTTCGAAGACGTAACGATGAATCACACGACCCTATCCTCTAGATAGAACCGGATATCTCAAATTCTTTCAATAGTGTAAATAAAAAATATTTTGGTCCGTTTTGCTTTTGAGTGTAACCTTAATATTTTTGTTGTATATTTTCAGATGTGTATACATCGCTACAAGAGCCTGGCCAGGTTCGGACTCATGCACATGATCGCAACTAACTTATGTGTGTGGGTGGAGAATATTGTCCGGGAAACCCTGCGCGAAATCGAAACCTATAACGTCCGGCACGGGAACGTGGTCACGTGGATAGATCCGCACGTGTCTACCAATGATTCAGTATCCATGGGTATGTGTAATGGTCTCTCTAACAGTCCAGTGTATACAAACCGTTTTATACATGTTCTTAGTGATTATATCACCATTCGCCGATGAATTATTCATTTAACAAATAACACGATGTCAAAGTTCAAAAAATAAAAAAAAAGTGTTAAAGAACCATTAACCCGAAACATTTTTTCTTTTGTAGTAGTTTTGAAATAAAGTTGACAAGTAACACGTTTATTCAGGCAAAATACAGTAATAATATCGGCATCAGTTAGACTGGCGGTTAGTCATTTATCATACAATGCTGGATAACTCTCGCTCGGATGGTTTTTTGTCGTATGGACCAATAAAATAACAGAAATTCGAGGATAAATACCCGAACCTCTCTTGGGGAAAGTAACATTACCAAAATGCAAATATTAGATATAATAAAGATTCCTCCGAGAGAGGTTGATCCGGGTCATTATTGATCGTGCGTGCTTTTATACGATCCGATGTGGGCACGTGCTGTGTAGTTTGACAGATACAGATTTCCGGCAGCGTATCTTGTGTTTATGACTGATCTGGGATATGTATCCTCCAGAAGGATTCTCGTCCGCTCACGGTCAAAAGACAACGTCACGAGATTATCATCACTTTGTGTCTTTAATCCACTAGTGTCAGTTCACAGATCTCCCGATATTGCGTTAGTGTGCCGCCAGGGGGTTCTTTTCACGTGCTTGGTACCAGCATGCTTTGCGACGCCGCCGGTATTGTCGCCGTTGTAGATAAGCTCGAGTAACGGTGCAGTTTCCATTGTTTTAAAACAATTACAACGAAATTAAATGGAAGTTCCGTATTGGCAAACGAAATAATGGCTCAATACGTCTAAAATTCAATCAATAGTGACGTCCGTGAACAAACCATCAGAAAGTCAATGTTTTTTTTAATCTTCCAAGTAATGTTTTTTAAGACGAAGAACATCTTTATACTACTAGTATTACAGATCATATACGGATCTAAGAGTGGCAGTTAAAATAGACTTGCCACAGTAGTGAGTAAACGACTATATTTAGGACAAACACGATAAAAATATGTTTATGAACAGCTTCCTCGAGGAAACATAGGTTTATTACGGATTTTTTTATGCAGTTCCTGTTTAAATATCTATCTGTAAAGTTTTTCAGTATCCGCTGTCAAACCCGTCAATCGGCCTTATATAGGTTTTAATAGGCATTGCTGACATGTTTTCATGTCCGACCAAATCTTAAAATTATTTGTCAATAAACAGTAGATCTTGAAGTAGTTCATTTCGTACTTGAATACGTCACGTAGACAGCCTTCTATGATATGTAATGATATGATAATAATTTCAAGATATTGAACAAAACCAAGAGTATTTACAATGTTCTCAAGGTTAACTTGTATCTTATTTAGCATTTCTAAAAAGCAATTCACAAGAATATTAATACCCAATAACTGCGTTTGTGACTGTGACACAAGTCAGTTTCTGATATTTGTATCGTTGACGTTTTTTTCTGATATATGTATCGTTGATGTTATACAGTACAAAATAGTTCAGTGGCGTCAGCCGGCATCATCCGATGTAACGGAAACTCATTGATGAAGTCTGTTGTGGAGTCGTCTGGCCCCTATCTCTACCCATGCAGTGTCGAGTACAGTATCATCTGTGCAGGTAAGTCTGACCCCTACCTGTACCCGTGTAGTGTGGAATACAGTATCATCTGTGCAGGTAAGTCTGACCCCTACCTCTACCCGTGTAGTGTTGAGTACAGTATCATCTGTACAGGAAAGTCTGGCCCCTACCTGTACCCTGTAGATCACAGTATCATCTGTACAGGTAAGTCTGGCCCCTACCTGTACCCGTGTAGAGTACAGTATCATCTGTACAGGTAAGCCTGACCCCTACCTGTACCCGTGTAGAGTACAGTATCATCTGTACAGGTAAGTCTGGCCCCTACCTGTACCCTGTAGAGTACAGTATCATCTGTACAGGTAAGTCTGGCCCCTACCTGTACCCTGTAGAGTACAGTATCATCTGTACAGGTAAGTCTGGCCCCTACCTGTACCCTGTAGAGTACAGTATCATCTGTACAGGTAAGTCTGGCCCTTACCTGTACCCTGTAGAGTACAGTATCATCTGTACAGGTAAGTCTGGCCCTTACCTATAGAAACGATCTTATTAAGCATTTCCTTACACAAAATTACGGACCATCGTAAGCATTGCCAGTGTTGACAGTTATTTCCATTCATCAATGCTTCTGATATCAAATATTTTACTCTCTACTTTGAGCCAAGCAGGTTTTTGTAAGATTTTATCATTGCACAACTCAGTTGCATACAAGCCTTATACGTTGTTTTAAGCTTCGAATCCATGAATATAGAATGTTTCAAAGCAAAAGAACTGTTTTAAATATTGAAAGTCCAATGCATGATAATTTTACACTCTACCTGCAGGTATTTTGTACGTGATGTGGAAGAATATAGGACGATTCCAGATGGGTTACGATGGCAATGACGTACAAGACATTGAATCTAAGGTTAAGGCCCAGAGGATCAACGTCGACTGTTCCGGATCTAGTCGGGGTCTTTTCATCGGAATATTTGTCTTAGTTGCCACTGTCATAACCATGATAATATTTTTCGTTCTGATTGGCTCGTTGTCATATTTGGATACGGCTCTTAAATTGGAACACCTTTCGGAAGTAGTCATATACGTTTTGACGTCGATCGCCGTCATCTTGGCGTTTCACCGAATGCAGGCTTTACGTTACTCGATTGAGAAGCAGATAGACCTTGAAGAAAGCCTTCTCTTGGTTGGAGTGATAGGAGAATTTACGTTTGGATTATTTAGTATCATCGCTGCTGCCATGGACAGTCAAGAATCCAATGGGTTCCTTGTCATATTATCTAGTGTCCTGGGAATGTTTCAGGCCACTCTTCAAACTGTGTTCCTTCTGCACGCGCTCCGGAAATCCGCGGGAAAACGGGAGCACGAGCGACAGAAACCTGGTCGCGAGTTTGTGACATTCTTGTTAGTGTGTAATATTGCTCTGTGGAGTATTACTACGTTTGAGGTTTTGCGGTCTCAAGCTAACCCAATGCAATTGAACTATTATGGTGTTGTGGCTTGGAACATTGTCAATCATGTGTCTATCCCACTGACAATATTTTTCAGGTTTCACTCGACAGTGTGTTTGTCGAACATATGGAAAAATGCTTGGAGGCGACGTTACCCTAGTGGTTAGATTTCAGTATCACAGACGAGAAAACCCAAATCATACCATTTTGTCACTGCTTGGTGCTACAAATTCATCTTGTCATGCCTATACACCAGTAATGTTCTTCAATTCTCACCTGAATGAAGAGATTCAATCGTAACAGTGACTAACCATAAGGTCCAACCACGTGACTGCATTGAGGCTTGTTGATATGACGTCATCATAATCTTTATGCAAAATAAAGCCAACTAAAAGAAAATCTAGAAATTCAGGTCGCTAGTATCTATGTTCAACAAAAAGAAAGCTTAGAAGATGGATTTATGTTGTCGATAATCTCGTCGGGCCAACATCTTTACAGGATACAGTACTAGAAGGTTTCACGTCGACATTTTAATTCAATGCTATAACATGTTTTCAAAGTTGAACACTTTGAAACAATCAAAAGTTTAGCAGTCCATGATGCTACAGAAAATTATCGGCCAATATTAGATGTAATCTTTTGTTATCTTCTATTGAATTGTTTTCTATGTATTTGGTTGTGCATCTGTAGGAAAAAAAAACATTGTCAGCAATGTATACAATTTTGGCAGCATTTTTAAATAGTACATTAGTATTTCTGATAATGGGTCGGTCATATCTTCTCGTATACAGTTGACAATTTGATGGTATTGTTTGCCGACGCAGTGCTAGTGAGGTGGCCTGATGCACTGTACAAGTGAGATTTAATTCTGCACGGACTTCGATCTCTCCCCCTCCCAGTCTCTCTCTCCTCCCTCCCTGTCTCCACCCCCCTTCCCCTCTCTCTTTCCTCCCTCCCTGTCTCCCCCCTTCCCCTCTCTCTCTCCTCCCTCCCTGTCCCCCCCCCCCCGTTCTCCATCTCTCTCGCCTCTCCCCTACTACTACATTGTACGTTTACTCTTCTCCTGAAATTGAAAATGAAATTAATTTAACGATCCACGTTTTCAGCATAATAGCATAATGTATTACTGTATATGTTTTCTTCTACTAGTTCTTCAAATTTATTGTGGAGATCAAATGGCTTAATAAAACACGAAGGAATTACTTACAGCTTTAGTTACACCATTACCTGCCTTACTACAACGGCAGGAAATCCAGTCTAAGGACCGAGCTTCGGAGCGCAGCCAAAATAAGACTGACAACCAGCGTATTTCAACATGATGCTATTTGATCCACATCGTATTGTAATTCATCAGTATTACCTCAACAGAATCATTGTAAATAGCCTTTTAAATTATGGAGAATATATGTCATGACCAATGAATATTGTATACACATGTATATTAACATTATATCAGTGATGCACAATGTTTTACAACAAAATTTCAACTTAAATATTAAAATTGATACATATTTGAAGAAAAAATTGTTGATTTCTTGTCTTTTTGTGAATTACAGGGCGTGAATATCTCATTTTCTAATCCTCTGCATATAAGATTTCGAATACGAACATATTTGTATATTTGAAGTGAATAATTGTAAAAGTAAAAGGGGAGGGGGCCGGTGAGATATCTTTTTCAAGTGGGTTAAGAACTGGCTTGTAGTAGATCGAAATTTTCTGTTTCTAATACTACAATATCGTGGTGCTGGAGACATTTTCGCATGAAAATAAATCGATAAAATGAAAGAAAAACAACAACACAACTATTGATCTTTAAACGTTCACTCTGACCTTACATGGGCAGTTAAGAATAAGTATCTCGTAACCTAGCGTTTTACCATCTGTTTGGACAAATAGAAAAGAGAAAAAAATGTATTATAAATGCATTCATGCAGATAGTGTTTTTTGTAATATTGACATTAGCTACATCCTTTTTTAGATTTAATAATTATAATAAAAGCTCTCAAAAATAATCGAAGAATTTGTCCCTGCTGATCTGAAGTGAAACACGAACACACGGTTCAGGGTAAAGATGTTCAAGATTTCAAGATTTTTATTTCTCTCAGACAACAACAATGTGTGACAAGAGGTCATACATAATGAAACATTTTTAGTACATGACAGGCAGCCATAGTTATAAACATGTTATATATTTGTTGATTTTCCGAAAACATACATTGTAAGCAGCTCAAACATTTTAATATCTAGGACAATCAATGCTAACAATTAACGCAGTCGCATTATAAAATGTATGACAATCGTTGGATAAACATGCTTACATTCATCAATAACTTTTTATTAAAGACTGTGAACATCCCTTTCATTTTGTATCGGTTAGGATATTTACAGTAGTATCCCGGGATATACTTCAGTCTTAGCTGTTTTACTTCATCATTATTACACAAAAATATAAAATGAAACTCATCTCCTATACCATTATTACACATGGGACATACTCGATCAAGATGTTGTATCCCTCTCCATCCACCTAATTCTACCGGTAATTTACCATTTGCTGTTCTGAATTTACAGGTAAATTCTGCATCTTTTTTATTCAACCGTAATAAATAGTCTTCAATACCAAATTCATTTTTGAAAATACTATATACTTGTCCTCTGGACGATTTTTCCATTTCGTCGAACCAAGATTGGACAAACTGGTCCTTCAGTCTCTGAGCAACTTCAGATTTTAAAAAATTGATATGTGGTAAACAAGTTTTCTGAAACATCCATACATGACCTAATCCAACACTGTTTAAAATATTTTTGATGCAGTTTATCCATTTGAATTCTATTTGGCCTGTTTCGTTGAGTGAATACATCAATTTATACATGCAACTTGATAATTTATTCTCATTCAGGATTAGTGATTACCAATATTTAACCATTCTTAATTTAATATCTATAGTAATAGGGTATCTTCCGATTTCTCCGTAGACCATAAAATTGGTTGTACTTTTCTTCAACCCCAAAATTCTCTTACAAAATTGTAAATGTATCTTTTCAATAAGATGACAGTTCTCATATCCCCATATTTCACTTGATTATAATAAAATCGGGGATACCAATGCATCAAATAATTTCAATTTCAAATCAAGCGGTAAATCAATATTTCTTATTTTTCGGTATAAATCGGATATCGAGAGTATTGAAGTCAAGATGTTTTTGGTTGAATTTGGCGTTTGAAATTATACTACAATACATTTCAGAGGGATTGTATAAATACAAGAAAATGAGCAGCGTATTTGTATTTAAATTAAGTGATTGAGAAAGTATATTTATATGAAAATAATGAAAAAATAAACAACTGCATTCAAAATGTTTCGTCCGAATAGGTCTCTTCTGTGGTTCTAATGGTTGAACGAGCTGCTAGGTGTTAGAAGGGAGGTAACCTAATCGCTTTATTGCATTAAAATCTAGAATTAAGGTTTATGACAAACCTTTAGGACTATACTGAACACAGTATACAGGATACAAGCAAGTGAAAAAAGCACAGAGAATACGCTGAATTATTTTTCAGGATGTGTTTTCATTAAATGGCAAATCCAAATGTTTAAACACAAATAGTGTTACCCATTTAAGAACAGGGATGTGGTGTTTTGGTTGTGTATTTATGAGCCAGACATGCTCACGAAAAACTTCCATTTGGACGATAATCTTATTTTAGTAAATTCTGCCATTCGTCATCTCGTGTCCTTAACTTCCTATTTCCTTATAGTCGCATTCAGAACAGTAAAATCATCGCCTTTGATGTTAGAATAGATTCATGAAAGGTCATTTGACTTTCGATTGATTGTCGGTTGATCTGTTGTTGTACTGGTTTTATTACTTGCAATATTGATAAGTCTTCTTGAGGACGTGCTTTCTTTTCTTTTTATTATTCAGAAGGTATGTCTTGGTTTCAATCATGTCGAAAATCACGCCTTAAGTATCGTTTAATCTCGCTCCATATTGGTTCACACAAAAACAACAAAATATCGACAAGATAAAAATATCGTAAGCTCAACTGAAAATCAATGAAACTGTGGTAAAATATGAACAAAAATATTTACACGGAGATCTTCAAAGTACAAGGTGAATGAGACCAGGTATTCCGGAAGGTGTAGGGTTTTTCTGTTTCATTAACGACACCCGGTTAACCTCATTATATTGCTAATAATGTCACATCTTCAAACAAGGATAGAATTAATGAAACCACCAGGCATACTAAAAGACAACGAAAATATTCAGATACATATCGCAGAATGAAATGGAATGTTTCTCAATGTAATCATGCTTCATCGACGGACCTGCGTATCCCTTGTGCTGTGGGTTTATTTGTCAGCTGTTGGTATCTTTACGAGGATTATGATGATGGATTGAATATCGAATAAGCATCCACCATTGGTTGGGAAGAGTGTATATCGATATCTAGAAATCGACAATACAGCTTGTTCGAGAGCTGTCCCTGTTGGTTTGTTGTAAGAAGACATCGAGGTAGGGCAGCTAATGTAGAAATGTCTGTCGTGTCCTTGATTTCAAATTCAATTTTTTTTTGTCACTGAAATGAGTTGGAAGACTTGGCAAGATCTTTGTGTCCTGTCTTGATAAGCTCTTCCATAAATTCAGCATCGTATGAAAATAAAACAAGTCTGCAAAATGAAGAGCGTGACTTGGTCTTATGTGGGGACATTGATCATTGTGTGTGTTTAGTCTGTTGGAAGACATTAAGGGACATTGATCATTGTGTGTGTTTGGTCTGGGACATTGATCATTGTGTGTGTTTAGTCTGTTGGAAGACATTAAGGGACATTGATCATTGTGTGTGTTTGGTCTGTTGAAGGCATTAAGGATGACTTAGTCCAATGTGGGGACATTGATCATTGTGTGTGTTTAGTCTGATGACTTGGTCCAATGTGGGGACATTGATCATTGTGTGTGTTTAGTCTGTTGGAAGAAATTAAGGATAAAAATCAAATTTTTAATAACAGCCGATACTAATTGATTCAGCGCAATGTATTATGCTCTTTGTATATTAATATAATATTGTTGAGAACACCATTGTATCAAATTGTGTAGGAGTCCGTCGCCTCGTCTGCACCGAGGCTACCTCAAAGTGTGAAATACCTATATAAGGACGAAATAGCTGTTAGACTCTACCGTGCTGGTGCCTTTTGTCCCCTAAATTGTAGGCAAAATCAAATATACTTCTAGTATCGGATCTTATAAACTCCTCAACAAATTACTCGATTTAAAATTAAGACAATAGTTGGGTTAGATTGCAACATAGATATATATCAGTTTTATAATGTATTTCGATAATCCAAACAATTATCAAATCTATTCTTGAGAGAGTTTATGATTGGTGTTAACCTCATCTTCCAGGAGGATATTTTAAAATTTTAACGACATAGAGAAAAAAGTTTTGCTTACGGATTCAGAGTGTGAGAGGAACATTTTTCCTTAATATGGCCCTGTTCCTTGTCTTTTGATTTGATCTTTCCAGAACTTAATTATCCTTAGATGCATCACTACCACAAACAAGCATTGAGCTGCTTTCAGTTGGCATTCACGGGTATATGAATGCCAACAGGATAAGAGTAACTTCAAAGAAGCAGTTAGCATAGCCCATGAATGCCAACTGAAAGCAGTCCAGCAATTTGCTTTCATTACTTATTCCTGCACTGTTGGCAGTTCATGAGCTGGTAATACACAGCTGATTTTGGTAAGATAACACTGAAGCAATAACATACAATGGTAGATATATTGCTATAAAACTTTATCACCGATACTAACTCTTCTGTGAATACATATCACTATAGTATTAGTAGTAAGAGTTTTCATTGACATAGAGGCTAGAACCTGTGCCTTTATCATATCTCCACTCAACTTGTGGTTTATTTCCTTTATCAGAAGGTAAACAATTCAATTCTCCAGTTTCTTTATTGACTGCAGCAAAATCTGAAAATAATGAATAATACCTGGATACTAGAAACTTCACTTTTTGTTTGTGTAGCACATCAGATTCAAAGTCAAGACACAGTGGTCACTATTCCTGGTGAACTTGTTCTTTAATCATATTCTCCTCTTTGTTAGCATATTTGCTCCTTGCCACTTTGTTTCCTTGTCCATGAGTTGATAGAGAAACAATCCTTTGTACACACCATAAAGTATTCCATGCCATCTCATTGTACATTAAATGTTTCCAAACTAATACTTGGATGATGAATACTCCCATGATTGAAATATTTAATTATTAGAATTTTGACTTGTTATAACTGATGTCAGTTTTCTTGGGTTTTATTTTTTTTTTCCGCCCACTTTCTGATGTATGGTTACTTTCGACCAGAATCAAAACCATTTAATAGTTGTAAAGACACATGCAGATGTGATAACTATACCTTAAGTCCAGGTGCTGAAGATCAGGTGCTGAACTACAGGTATTTCATAAGTGTAAGAAAGACATCATTATCACTAATATAGATAAAATTTAAAACCAACTCTCTCATAAGAAATTTTAATTAGGGAAAATGAATCTCTCAGTGCTTACAGTATATGTAAATAAAGAAGTATACAAGTTAAAGAAGAACATACATCAATGTTATCTCCATGGATTGAGAAGATATATTTTGATTTATCGTCCCTGTGAACAGCCAATACAAAGGGCAGTCTCCTATTACTAACTCATGGTTACCTCACTTAATAACATACAAAAGGCCCATTGCATGTCATCCATAGGGGTAAAGTGTCTTGACCAAGAACACATCCACCACAGCACAGACAGAATTGGTTTTTCAGTAAGCAACCATGTTTAGGAAGTGTTGAACCACACACAATGTACCTCTATCTGAGGTTGTGTAGGCGAACACTCTACTGACTGTGGTGTTGCTGTAGCTATAAAATCACAAAGAGAGTAATGTACATTTATGTAAACATTGCTTTTATATTCCTGTGGTAAAGGACAAAGTTTGCATATAATATATTTGCTGTTCAATATTGCAGTACATCTTAAAACTTCAAATGTAAATAGAAAGCAAGCCTCTCAAATAGTACACTTACAATACAATACAATACAATACAGGACACTGGCATTATTTGTAATATAACATAACCACATGGTGTTAACAAAGTCACCTTCAAAAATCTTCACAAAAAAGTTGTTTAAGACCCTTACAAAATAATTTACTTTAACAAACATATATTTCATCACACAGAGGGAAAGTTTTAATTGCACATTCATAAACATGTTGGTAACAGTCATCTGAAGAGTGTATTGTTCAGTAAATGTTCTGTAAACTAGTGCCCACTAATACAAATGTCATGTTATTTCTACCAGGTAACATACCTGTATTACAGGTATAACTCAACGACACACTGTCAAAGCATCTGTTGTAGTAGAATGCTGAATCACAACACAAATACAGCATGGATGGACTACTGTAGACAATACACAGTAATTATAACCTTGTACTTTAAATTGTGTACAAACATTTAAAATGAGCTACAAATGTAGACATCAATCCAGTTTAGTTCTTTTACACAAACAGCACGACCATTTCAGAGGCAATATTTCTAAATCAAAAGTTACATATACTTGGTGGTTCCCATTGGCAACACACCGACATTATTAATTAACAATGAATGTGAACTCTGACTTCTATACACAATACATCTGGTCATATAATTTTGTTATAAAGTCAAGTAAAATGATCACTTCAATAGAGAGATTTCTTTACATAATCTGAAAATTCAATTTTATAAATGAAATCATACAAACCAATCATTTACTTAATGAACAGTTTGAAAAAATCTTGATTATCTAGGAATAAGTATGACTAAACTCAAATTTCCTAAAAAGAATTAATTTCAGTTGAATATGTTGGTATTCTTGTTCACATGTCAACAAATTAGTAAAGAGTATTAAAACAGAAAGTTTATCTTTGATGGATCTTGTTAATACTGATAACCAAAGACATCATGTGTCTACAAATAGTATTTTGTTAAAAGAACCATGAAATTGGAGCCCCAATAAAGATGTGTGATATAACAAGTTTAGATGGACCATCTTGTAAATCAGATCCACCTATAATATGAATTATTTGAAATAAGCAGTAAAATCGTTTACAGTGTGTGTAGCCTATATCATATGTATATATAATAAAAACAAGAAAGGGAATAGATCACAACAAGCCATGATAACTGGTGTCATTTTCATCTCTTTTATTGGGGGTGTATAGTGTTAACCCATATTTGCCCGTCCCCCATCCCATCCTCATTCTGTCCTCTCCCATCCCCATCCTGTCCTCTCCCATCCCCCATCCAATCCCCATCCTGTCCTCTCCCATCCCATCCTGTCCTCTCCCATCCCCATCCTGTCCTCTCCCATCCCGTCCTGTCCTCTCCCATCTTGTCCTGTCCTCTCCCATCCCCATCCTGTCCTCTCCAATCTCGTACTCTCCTCTCACCCCCCCCCCTCATCCTGTCCTCTCCCATCCCCATCCTGTCCTCTCCCATCCCCATCCTGTCCTCTTCCATCTCATCCCCCCCTCCCCCCCCTCCCCATCCTGTCCTCTCCCATCTCGTCCTGTTTCCTTCATGTTGTGGTTCATATTTACCCCATAGCACCATAACATCATTTTACACCTGATCCAATTCTGGGTTGCGTAGATTTCGTTGCATACATGTCTGACAGGTACCGGTATTTGCTAATTTATCATCAGAGTTCCATTCATTTGCATTTTAATAAGACACTTTTCATATCCTCCAATATCTGAGCTGAGAGCTTGTAGTTGTTGATGACCTGCTGTAGTCAGATGTTCTTTCTCTCATGTTAGGTTTATAATTAAAAGTGACTTAAAGTTCTTTAGATAATGATTGATCTAGTTATGGATTTTATAAGATGAATCATTTTGTTAATTTTTGTTATAATTATAATATTTATAGCTAACATTTGATAACCTGTGTATTATCAAAAAGTTCTCCGACATACAGTGGTAAGGAATAAGAATACACCTGCTGGACATGAATTCCTAACCCAACAGTTCTTATCTTATAAACAATGAATTATCTGAACAGTGGGGGAGGAAATTCGTGTTAATGATCTGTATCAACATCATACATACTGCTTTGTTTAAAGACAAACATACTAAATATATTTCTTCAACATTCAGTAAAGTTACAGCTGAACTACATCACGTCATACTTGTAAAATATGTGGAAAAACTTGAAATTGCCTTCATAATTTATGTATAGTGCCATATTTGACAAAATAGAGATGCTAAATTGTTTATGAAATGTTTATGCAATGAACAAATTTAACTTCAATATAGATGAAAAGTTTAGGAATTATCAGAAAAATCCTGACAGGATGAAATATAGGGGGTGTCGACAGGTATAATTTGAACATCAGGGCATCAAATTAGTAAACCTTTGTTTATCATACAGTTTATACATCATGTAAAATTAAAATTGGCTGGAATGATCAAACACAACACATTAACAGAACAATTTGGACTGAAATCATATTTTATGCAACTTTAAATGGAACTCAATTTGAACCATGAATTCTTGTAGGTGATATGTAAGGCATTGAAAAAAAAAAAAAAAAAGAAATTAAAAATAAATAATTTACATCAACATTCATGTCATGATAGTGACACACAAAAGACTTGCACCACTGTTTAGCTAGCAAACATGCTTATCATCAAGTTGTTATTCAAAGATATGACACATCTGTCTGTTACAAAAGCAACTACTGCTTGACTCAGACAGGCTTAATGTTAGTCAAAATTTACAAATGCATTGTAAAAAAAAACTTCTATAAGGATAGAAAATGTAGGTATAAATGAAGACACAATTTGTTAAATGCTTAATTTATTTCATTTAAACTTTCCTCAGTGAGATTATTTCCATTTATGGTAATATCAAAACAATACAGAAACAAAATAAGTAAAAACATTGGATCATTTTGGGCCTTGTGACTGAACCCATTTCTGGACTAGACCATTAATAATACCAAATAGTTTTGATTTTACATACAATGTAGTAATGTAAATAATAAAATATCAGTCATAATTGTCCTGAAACTTTACAAATCCACAACAAATGTCCTAATCAATACAAATGGCACATAAATGTCTACATGTCGAATTTCCATTACACCTATACAGTATGTAATCTACCTTGTAGACAGACTATAGAGGTGTGGAAAATCTCCTGCATCACTGATCAGGGGTGGGAGGTTTCTGTCACAGACTGACACTCTCTGAACAGGTGTGGGAGGTCTTATTTCACAGACTGACCGTCTCTACAGATGTGGGAGGTCTCGTGTCACAGACTGACAGTCTCTGTACAGATGTGGGAGGTCTCGTGTCACAGACTGACAGTCTCTGTACAGGTGTGGAAGATCTCGTGTCACAGACTGACAGTCTCTGTACAAGTGTAGGAGGTCACGCGTCACAGAGTGACAGTCTCTGTACAGGCGTGGGAGGTCTCGTGTCACAGAGTGACAGTCTCTGTACAGGTGTGGGAGGTCTCCTGTCACAGACTGACAGTCTCTGTACAGGTGTGGGAGGTCTCGTGTCACAGACTGACAGTCTCTGTACAGGTGTGGGAGGTCTCCTATCACTGAGTGACAGTCTCTGTACAGGTGTTGGAGGTCTTGTGTCACAGACTGACAGTCTCTGTGCAGGTGTTGGAGGTCTCGTGTCACAGAATGACAGTCTCCGTACAGGTGTGAGAGGTCTCCTGTCACAGACTGACAGTCTCTGTACAGGTGTGGGAGGTCTCGTGTCACAGACTGACAGTCTCTGTACAGGTGTGGGAGGTCTCCTTTCACTGAGTGACAGTCTCTGTACAGGTGTTGGAGGTCTCGTGTCACAGACTGACAGTCTCTGTGCAGGTGTTGGAGGTCTCGTGTCACAGAATGACAAGCTCTGTACAGGTGTGGGAGGTCTCCTATCACTAAGTGACAGTCTCTGTACAGGTGTGGGAGGTCTCCTATCACTGAGTGACAGTCTCTGTACAGGTGTGGGAGGTCTCCTGTCACAGAGTGACAGTCTCTGTACAGGTGTAGGAGGTCTCGTGTAACAGACTGACAGTCTCTGTACAGGTGTGGGAGGTCTTGTGTCACAGACTGACAGTCTCTGTACAGGTGTGGGAGGTCTCGTGTCACAGACTGACAGTCTCTGTACAGGTGTGGGAGGTTACCTACAACACTGGCTGATGGTCTCTGTCTAGGCTGACAATCTGTACAGATGATGGAGGCTACCTACGACACTGGCTGATAGTCTCTGTACAGATATGGAAGGTAACATCACCTTCAATGATAAAAGATTGTCTCCATGCATGTACATAGTTAGAAAGATACACTTCATAAAGACTCCAGATCTACATGGCGAACTTTGGGATGTCTTGCCTGAAAAAGACAAAAAAAAACATTTTCTAAAACGGAGATTCTTATTCTTTAATTATATATGTTTAAGGTATATAACACTGTTATACAAATATTCTTCCAAATACAACTTAATATAAAAGAATGAAATTCATTTAAAAAAATCTGAAAGAATCAAATTGGATGTCTAGTTCAATCTCCAATGGAAATCTATATCATACAATATGTTAGAGTAAAATAGCTTCTTTGACAGACCATCTAACACAAGCAAAGCGTTTTAAGTGTTTACCTTGATTCTGGTCTCCAGTCCATCTACTCCCTTACCCAGCTGGTTGACAACTTCACCACCATGGTGTAGAAGGAATTCTTCAGCTTCTTTTTCATTGGATATAAACTGCATTTCCTACAAAACACAACAAAATTTAACTAAATAATAAAGACGTTATTTTAAATAAATCAACAAACAAGAAAAGTCAGCTTGATTTTATTTATAAAACATGTGATCCCATACAGGGTCTCCACGGAAACTGCAAAATATGGTTAAAAGTTTGTTATCATTGTTTCTTTGGTTGATATGACAAAATTTGGAAAAAATTCATTTATGACATATAAGCATTTTTTTTCTTATATTAGATACGCTAACAAGATTCTCTACAGAATAATGTCAAATATGTCCAAAAACTGGAATTTATAGCAAGCTTATATTTAGTAATAATGAATCCAATGATCAATTGTTATAGATTCAGTGGAAACAAACCTGCAGTAATGATGCCATGTTCTGCTCCAATAAATATTCTTTGGTGATTTCTCGGCCATTGAAGTCAATCTCGGCTTTCACTCGATCATTTACAACCTTCATATCATGAACTGACCTACAGTATATATATAAGAGTTTGATTGTTATTATAAACAATACTTTAGTACAGTCAAGGACTAACCAATGTTTTTTACCATATCCCATCTTGATCTATCATCTCTGCTAGATGTTGTGAGAAATTTCCAATCAGTGATTGTAGATCACAACTGGTTATTTTCCTCCATTTGCGATAACATGTGAAATGTGTATTGAATAAACTGGTCCAAATAATGTTCTCTCTGAACTTATCTTTGCTGCATTTGTGTAATTATGTTAATTTTCTCGTAATGAGACAAGAAAAATTCACACACTTCCCAGTGCTACATCTGTCTTGTCCATCTGTCAGGTACCATTAGGTGATATTTAGAGCAAAGTGGAAATATCATATTTAATTGTATACTTTAACGCATAACCAAAAACAGTTTATGCACTTTTGCCACAATAATGTACGAGAAATAAAATCTGTTACACACATCAGGTAAAAGTTTGAGAATAATTTACTTCAGTCTTCGACTGATATTCTGTAACATCTCGTTATAGTCTGTTTTTGCCTCGAATGAGATTATGTTGCAGAATGTCAGCCCTCAACAGTAATAAAATGATTTCAAACACATACAGGTAACAGATTCTTTTGATCAGGAATGCTTGATATCTATATCTAGCGGTAAAATTAAAAGTATCATCAATTGCAATACATGTCCTGCGATATAAACCCACCCTCTAAATTCAAGCTAGAATTTCTGTGTTGAGCACTGGGCTCTATTGTAGGATAAATGTCGTATGTTTACACAATGTACATACAGCTTCTCCCAGAATTTCTGTGTTGAGCACTGGGCTCTATTGTAGGATAAATGTGTTATGTTTACACACTGTACATACAGCTTCTCCCAGAATTTCTGTGTTGAGCACTGGGCTCTATTGTAGGATAAATGTCGTATGTTTACACAATGTACATACAGCTTCTCCCAGAATTTCTGTGTTGAGCACTGGGCTCTATCGTAGGATAAATGTCGTATGTTTACACAATGTACATACAGCTTCTCCCAGAATTTCTGTATTGAGCACTGGGCTCTATTGTAGGATAAATGCGTTATGTTTACACACTGTACATACAGCTTCTCCCAGAATTTCTGTATTGAGCACTGGGCTCTATTGTAGGATAAATGTCGTATGTTTACACAATGTACATACAGCTTCTCCCAGAATTTCTGTATTGAGCACTGGGCTCTATTGTAGGATAAATGCGTTATGTTTACACACTGTACATACAGCTTCTCCCAGAATTTCTGTATTGAGCACTGGGCTCTATTGTAGGATAAATGTCGTATGTTTACACAATGTACATACAGCTTCTCCCAGAATTTCTGTGTTGAGCACTGGGCTCTATTGTAGGATAAATGTGTTATGTTTACATACTGTACATACAGATTCTCCCAGAATTTCTGTGTTGAGCACTGGGCTCTATTGTAGGATAAATGTGTTATGTTTACACACTGTACATACAGATTCTCCCAGAATTTCTGTGTTGAGCACTGGGCTCTATTGTAGGATAAATGTGTTATGTTTACACAATGTACATACAGCTTCTCCCAGAATTTCTGTATTGAGCACTGGGCTCTATTGTAGGATAAATGTCGTATGTTTACACAATGTACATACAGCTTCTCCCAGATTTTCTGTATTGAGCACTGGGCTCTATTGTAGGATAAATGCGTTATGTTTACACAAAGTACATACAGCTTCTCCCAGAATTTCTGTATTGAGCACTGGGCTCTATTGTAGGATAAATGCGTTATGTTTACACAAAGTACATACAGCTTCTCCCAGACTTTCTGTATTGAGCACTGGGCTCTATTGTAGGATAAATGCGTTATGTTTACACACTGTACATACAGATTCTCCCATAGTTAAAGATAATTCACTGAAGCATCTTGGTGTGGACTTACTTACCTGACGATAGGATCACTCTCCATTGTGTTTAGAATGGCCTCTTTTACGTTGGGTGGAGCTGACCTACAAAGAATCCAACAACAACACAAATAATGTCAGCCATTCATCAATAACTTGTCCTTCACTAAATTACTGTGTAGTTGGTAATATTTGTGAGGAATTTTATTTTCATATATTCATGGGCATTATTGTAAAGTTATGTCTTTTTGTGGGGCTCAATTTTTGTGGATTAAAAAAGAAAAAAGAAAACCTATTTCATGGACACTGGATTAATATAATATGGCTCAATTAATCTACATAATTAATCTCCTATTTCAATAGTTCATGGATTTGTAGATTAAGCACATCCATGAAATCAACAAATATAAAAAAATCCAAGAAAATGATTGAATTTACAATAAAAATCTAACAATAATCTCAACAAATGTAAGTGATATGTCTATATACCACGTCACCAGTGTCTAGAAAAGTTTTCCCGATTACTTATGAAGATATAGTATGATGCAAAATTTATTTCCAGTGAACTAGCCACAACCGGGACAACCGCGAAAAATATTAACCCAGTAAAATAAAACAAAACATAAAATCATAAAATTGCATCAATCCCCTGCCTATCCTTGGATATTAAGATGGGAGGCATATTACCCATCTACCTACCATTTAACAGTACACAGCGTTCAGCTCTACTACCCATCCTTAAAACATAAATTGTACTAACACAAAGTCCTGACTGGTAACATTTGTTGAACACACCTTTCGTTGATTTGTAGAATAAGTTTGAAGCGATATGACTTCTCAGTAGTAAATTTCAGACAAATACAAATAAATCAAAGATAAACTGAACTGAATTTTCATTGTCTGATGTCCACCTCTGATTGATGAACTTTGCCCTCTAATTTTATCACACATATAACTTCAGCAGTGTACCATATTGTTGGAGGATATTAATGAAGCTACAGAAACTGACATCCATAGACATTGTGTTATGTAGTGATACTCATGACATTAGTCAAAATCATAAAAATAATGAACTTTTAAATGGGAAATAGAAAACCATTTCCAAATATTTTTCATTTTTCTCAAATAATTATGTTCTTCTACTTACTTTTCTACAATAGCCTGAAAGTTGGTTGTAACAATGACGCCTCCCACTATACAAAGTATCCCTCCAATCATCACAGAACCTAGAGCATCGATCCAGGAAAGGGAGGGATAGACACTTCCTATATAGTAACAGCCTAAGGCGACAAAGTTACCAAGTACTGCTGCAAAATCCTCCAACAACACCACTGTAATGCTTGGGTCCACACCCTCCTGAACTGGGATCAACAAAATCGGTAAAAATCAATAAAGTTCCACAAAAGCAAGAAGTATATACAAGGACATCTTGAAAATAATATCAACTCACCAATTTATGAGTAGTGAAAAATACATCTCTTTTGTTTCAAGTTTTTGGCAAAACCACAAAAAATTTGAATTATTTGAAAAAAAACCCCAAAGAAACCTCTATGGTACAATCTTATGCTCTTAAAAATAATCATTACAAGCTGTACTTTGGTCCAATAAAGTCAGAGTTAGTAAAGGGAAAACTGATGAAGTTTTACAGCACAATACATATATACAAGTTCATGTTTACATTGTCCTAATGCAAGGAAGATGCATGTTATTAAGATATCACTTGATATGAAATATTGAGCTATTAAAACACAACATCTCTGAAAACATCTATACTCTTCTTACAATACACCAACAGTTAATCTTACTAAAAATTCACTTTCACAATAAATTGATTCATTAATTCTTGAGAAGTAGATAAATGTGAAAAGAGTCGTTGCATTTAGCACTCTGACTCAATCAAACTGATCATGCTCTGAAGACCTGGGACATGTATTATGACAATGGCTAAAAGAAAAATTTGTCATGTTTTCAACAGCACATGAACTGATACTATATTTATAAAACTAAAACTTGGCATGTAATTAATTTCTGTAATAAGTAATCTTTAATATTCTTAACGATATTACAAGGAACATAGACATCCTCCATGGCAAGAACTTACTGAAATTTCGTAATCCTTTGATTTTGTTATCTCCTGGAATCTTTTTTGAGGCTTCGTTAAATGCGATGATTAATGAACCTGAAGTATAAACAAAATGCTTAAATCAGTCGGATACGATCTTTGTATAATATTGCTTTTGTCTCATAGCGATTGTATGCATGCTTAACACTGTTTTGAAAGATGATGGTATTATTCAGAGCATACAACTGCTGCTAGGTGGCATTAGTAACTCATCGGAAAATTTGAACCAATCATAAATGTAGGACTTGGTAGAAACACCTACATCCAGAGGCTATGACAAGAGGCTGAAACCCTGTGTGATGATTCTGAGAGAGACAAAACAGCTTACTAGAATGTAATGTGCCATCCCCAAGCTTGCTGACTGCAAATCTGCAGGTCAAGTTTACCTATTATGCTGGAAACAATATGGCATACTGACCTGCTTCCACACACGTAGTCCCAATCAGAATACTCAAAGCCTGAAAATAAATCAAAGTGTAAGCTTCTTGACATGCATAACAATATGCTGTGAAAAAATGTCCTCTGTTTTTTGTCATGACACAATTATTTTACTTCATCTCAACACATGGGCGGCTTTTTTCATGCACTAATTTATGATCAAATGAAATATAAGGCCTCATGGAATAGACTTCAACAACTTATATTCCTTATTCAGTAAGGTATCATCTCATCATGTAACTGCACCATTTCTACAAGCATTAGAGGCCATATTCCCAACCTTCCTGGGGCAGAGAGGGAAAGGTGGGGTGGAGAGTAGCAAATATAATTCTACCAACTTTGGATTCCCATCCCCAAAGGATCATTTTGGCCAAGTTTGGTTGAAATCCATTCAGTGATTCTTGAGAAGTTGAAAATGTCATCTGTTTACAGCAGATGACACACTTCCTGGACACAGGCTATCGCCAAAGGTCTACTGAGATTTCAGACATAACAACAGCCTCAGAGTTTTCATGATATCCTATCCCATAACAACTCCATAAACATTTACATCACCTGCATACACTGTCCGTAAGTCAATGTTCTGTTTTTCCTCTCAGCTACTATAATATATATATATACATTGGGATTAAAAGTATTGATTTACCTTCATGGAGCTGTCCAGGTTCAATGGTTACATCAATATTGCATGCTAGGGCTTCACGTTAAATATGTCAAGTTTAAGAAATTTTATCAGGCAATGCCCTATTACTATCTATTCAATCTCAACAATGAAGGACTATGACTAATATGTATGATAGGATAAGATTCCTTACATATACAGAGTAGTCGTACATCTCCGACTGACACACTAAGCCCCTCACTCCCAAGAGGCCGTTGATTGCTCCTCCAAAAAAGAAGATGGCAATCCCCGCAGTGAATGAAAACACATATTTGGCAGATTTATATCCATATCTGAAAAATAATTAAATTTCATCAAAAGCTTCAGCTTCATATCTCCACTACTACAGATTCTGATCAGTGTAAAACTTAAAAACTTTGCCTCAGGTGATCTATATATCACCTAATCTAACTTGAGAAATGTAAAAAGTCCTGGCCAATTAGAGGCAGTGAAGAAGTTCAAGGGTAGAAAACAAAAATCTCTATCCTCAATGGAGATTTCTGTCTGTTCAACATTTGGCTTTGGGACAAAGAAATCTTGTTACTTATAGAAGATTCTTGACTGTCTAACCCTTGGCTATAGGAAAGAGAAATCTCTAAAACCGCAAAAGATTCCTGTCCATCTAACCCATAACTTTAAGGATATCTCTGTCCTACCTCAGAGTAAATGTTAATTTGCATAGGAAGCCAGGATAGGGTGTGTAACACTCATCTGGCAAATTTGATTCCTTTTCACCTAAGAATGCTACAGACCAAATTTGGTCAAAATCCAATCATTCCTACGGGAGGAGTAGGATTTTCCTAACTTTACTCTAATTCCCCTATTGACCCGTGCCCTTGAGGGCAGAGACCCATTACCGGTATTCATACATTTGTTCCACTTCCCCCATGGATGCATCTGGTGAAATTTGGTCAAAATCCTGTCAGTTTTTTATGTCTTGTAGAAATTTAAAGAAAAAAAGTTGACATACATATGGACAACAGATGCTGTGGTATGCCATAAGCTCTCTTGGTCCTTTGACAGTGAACTCAAAAGGTTGTTCCAGTTCATGCATGGATGTTATGGGTAAGCTGATAATTCTTTTCCACATAGATAGAGATATCTCTACCCTGACTGTCCAGTGGGGTAGATAATTTTGCTTTGAATATGACTTGTTTTTTTAAGACAACAAGAGGATTCATTTACATGAAATTGATGCATGAAATATGATTGGTCAATTCTGAGAAATTTGCATATGTAAAAGCTTTCATAAAGACCATTAATTGATGCTCTAACACGACACAAGAATCCTTAGAAGGAATTAAAATTCATGGCAAAATAACAACCTAATCCACCAAAAATAACAAAAATCACAATGAATTTTGAAAAAAAGGTTGCTATTTTTTTTTTTAATTCGACTTTAGGGAATGTAATGAAACTGAAAAAGCTGGTATCTAATAAATAAAGATAATAAAGAAACGTAAAAAATAAGACTTCTGGTAAAACCGCATCAATTTACCTATCAAAATACTAGAGTATCAGTGAAACTGATGAATGCTCCCCAAAAACAACTTTTATCAGACACAAAATTTAAAAAAAGGGCATTAATTCTGTAATTAGGGGTTACCAGGCCCTGAATTTGGTATACTGCACATTCACTTAGAACGAATAATGTATACACTAAGTTTCATTATCCTAGTTTAAATGCAAGCAAAGTTCTGTTCTGGACAAGATATTTTTCACAATATTCTTCGTATGATCAATGTATTCACCAAGTTTCATTATCTTTGTTTAAACTTAAGCAATCTAAAGTTGTGCATCAAAAAAAATTCACAAATGACAATAACTATGTATTTAAGGGGTTTTGGGCCTGAATTTGGTACGATGCACATCATTTTAGTACGATCAATGTATACAGTTGCTACAGGCAAGAATTTTTTAACAATGGGCAATAACTCGGTAACTGGTATACTGCACATTGCCTTAGTATGACCAATCTGTACACCAAGTTTCATGATGGGCAAAGTTATGCTCTGGACACAAAAGGACAGACAGAAAGACGGTGAACGTAAGTCGAAAATGTCAAAAGTTTATGACACACGACAGATGCCCACGGATGTCAGAAAAAAGAGCTTTTTCACAGGTGACCTAAAAAGAGAAAAAATTGAAGGATACTTACGGATGGTCTACATCAGGAGCCTTATTAGAACTGTATAATCCAAATAACATGAAGACCTGAATAACATGTACAGAAACAATGATTATAAAATCTTTGAATTTTAAGTGATAAGAAAATATAATTTTTAACCAATAAGCTAATGTTGTATCCCCTTTTGTAATCTTTCAATATGTTATTGCAGCACCCATAAATGTATTTGAGCATACAAGTGTATGACTACCATTCTAATACTGTGAAATCATTAATTTTCTTGGAAGATTTATTTTCGCCGATTTTTTGGGTGCTCTTACTCAATGATGTCATTTACAAAGTTATATTTATCAACAAAATCAAATATTCATGAAAAAAAGTAATTTTTCGAAAACTACAACTGAACCCCACCACAATATATGATTTTACAGTATGGAACAGATAAATTAGTACTCCATGGAGATATAAAACATAAAATATCCTACAGCAGAGTTCTTAAAAATATTTTCCAGATAAACAAGTAAAATAAAACAGTGGTACATGCCCTCTAAGGACCTAACTTCTGATTCTCTGCAGAATTAAAAATGTTAAAAATGCCTTGTAAACAGCCAGGGGTATATCGAGATGGAATTTCCTTGTAGTAGCTGATGGTTACCTCAATGAACAACATATGGGAGGCCCACTGCATGCCATTCTGAGCAATTGGGTTAAGTGTCTTGCTAAATGACACGATCACATCAGCACAGAGAAAGAAAAACACACCCTGACAGGTAGCTAGTGTCAACCCACTTACCTCTGATCTTAACCTCAAGTTTCAAATTGCTAGGCCATCCCCCTTACCCACTAATTCATTGTGGCCTCCTTATTAAGGGAGGGAACTCTTTATTTACTGCTGATCAACGGTATCAGGGATTACCTATATGTACCTACCTGATTGATAGCGTCTATTAAGGAGTGAATCATTTCAGCGAACATACTAAATGATCCTGTACGATACCAAGCATGGCATTTAAATGCAGCACTCGTCAGATTACTGAAAACAGACATAGCAAATTAAATATGGGCAGTGTAACATCTGTAATGCTTGCAGCTAACATCATTCCAGATACATACATGTATATTTCTTTAGTGCATTTATATTCTACTAATATATTACTGTACATATTGAAATTTTGAGGGTTTTTATATTTTCTGTGCCTTCAAAGATGGAAATCAAATCTTGTTGAGAAAATTGTGGTAAAGACTTTCTTAAAAATCATATTTGAAAAGTTATTAAGTTTTGAAATTGTTACTATCATGTTTAATCATATCAAATTGATAACACCATCTTGATTTTTATGAAAATCAGCTTTAATTTTGAATAGAATCAATGATAACTTTCTTCATTTTTTGTAGAATATAAGTTCTTCTATAACCAGCCTGAAGAAAAATTTTTGTAACTTTGCTTTTTATGTTCCATAAAGCAATGTCAGTTCAAATACTCTCGTTTGGAGGTAGAGTGGATGTTATGATTAATAGATGATTAAGTTCACCTTACACAGCTAACACTTGTTATCATTTTGTATATCTTAAAATCAACAAAAGAGATTCCACAGGGATCGTGGTGCCTGCCATTGTACGATTGTTATTAGTCATCGTTATCGTTTGGATCTCCTTATACCCATGGATCAAAAGATCAGGGGCGCATTGTTTGTGTACTATCTGTTGTCAACTTTAACTTTGCCCGTAACTTTTGACCATGTGACCTTGACCATGTGACCTTGACCATGATCTTTAACCTATATATGAACAATTCTAACATAGGCCATCGCTATAGCATCTTACGAGGTATCGCTTTCATATTTGTCCCACCTCAGAATTTTGTTGCAACAGGGGGCATAGTGTTTCATAAACATATCTTGTTCCTGAATGGTTTTAAAATCAAATACCTAGATCTAGGGATCATGCCGAACTTCTATATGAATTCAAACAGAATAGCTTTAACAAACTATAACAGTCGAGAGTTATCCATCCAGGACTTATTAAGACACAGCAGTAACAAGAATTGTTTCAGGAAGTATGGATGAAGGAGGATACATCATAGACAATGGGGGATCTGAACAGGTTACCTTGGCTAAAAAGATAAAAGGAATACATACGCAGCAATGGCTGATAACACCACTTTACCAGATGCTGACTTTAATGTCTGGAACGTTAGGTTAATATTAGACTGTGTCTGAAATAAAAACATAATTCAATTAAAGTGCATTTGGATTCTTCCATTCAATAATTCTGATTTTACTACTCTAGAAAAATTTATTAAGACTCTCAATATTTTCCCTTCTTTCATATAATGATTTTCAGTGAGATGTTTTACTGTAGGAAAACATTTCATTCAGAATTGGGGTAAATCTAACTTATCAATCTTCAGGTGGTTGTTATATTCAGATCCTATCATGAATGGAGTAAATATCCACGATTCTTACCTTTTCCTCAGAAACATCCTCCCTTTCATAACCTAAAGGAGAGCAAAATCACATTACAATGTATATTTGTACAGTTTATATTTCAAAACAAAGATCAAATTTGACCTTTTAAATGGCTTAAGTAAAGTAGCAACGCTGTTCAGTTCAGCACCTTAATGTTCAAATAATATTTCTGCTCAATGGCACCAGTGGAACGTAAGAAAAAGTTTGACATTTGTTTTTAAGTATGCAGCTATGATGGCCCTATTGGATTTTGGACCAAACCAAAAAATATCAATATCAGGTCAGGACAATCTATCAATCATTTCAAGCAAGTTTCAGCTCAATCCCACTGATGGAATTTGAGATGTTTAAAATATAAAAAGTTTTCCCACTGTGCATGACAATGGACAAGCACAACAACATGAGGACTTTTCCCATTAAATCCACCAATGTCTATATTGATGTTGATATTTACTATAAACACTGCGCCGCTTACGCTGCTTTAACATCTTATCCATGCTTCCAAACACTTCCACTGTCCTACAATAAAACAAATAAATTGTGTTAATGATATTCAATGTCACAATTCCGCAACAAGGTATTAAGTATTTCAGAGAGGGGGAGAAAAAAGAGGTCCACTGGCCTTCCCAGTCACATGACTACAAAGATCTATAAATGATATAGAAGTATTAGTGGCAGTTAAAACAAATATTAAATGATTACAACAATTCTGAGTTTTAAGCGATGAAAGTCAGAAAAACATCACTTTTTGTTTTCATTTCAATTCTTCAAGATTTTAGATAAATGACAAAGTGGAACTAACTAAGCTAAAAATGTGTTTTTCAAGATAGTAGCTATGAAGCCATATTGGATTTTAAGCCAACTTGAAGAATAACAACACTTGGTCAGGACCATCTCAGGATCATTACTGGCAAGTCTGAGCTGAATGCTCTCAGATGGAATTTGAGAAATTGAAAACAGGTGTTGTTTAGGAAAAATCAAAATTGTGCTACCAGGCAATAATGCGTGCCATAGCCACCATGATCCAAATAGCAATTTGAGAAATTACTTAATTACAGAACAGATTAAAAGTAAGAAGGGTATCAGAATGTATACAAACACTTACTTTTCACGTATATCTGACACAGCGTACATCTTGACATATTTCTTGTCTGTATTATAGTATGCATTCCTTTTCTTTATTGATCTAAGATTTTTCAAATGTCTGTAATAAAGAAAATCCACTTTTTAAAAAACCTGCAATTCAGGTCACAGTTAAAAACAAAAAATGATTCATAAATGTATCTTTTTACAAAACTGGAATATTGACAAAATAATTTGCAAGAGCTGAACTGAGAGTCAAGTCATTTATTGTCTATGACTCTAGATGTTTTTTTTTCGAGACAGTGATTAAACATCCAAATTATCTATATTTTAAATCCAGTACTTCTCAAGAAATAGCGATGACAAAGTGAACACATCTAGGGACCAAGGAGAACCTATATTTGAAATTTCATAACGATCCATCAGGTACTTCTCAAAGAGATTTGAAATTTAAGAAAATTTACTGAATTAAGGGGCTAGAGCAAGTCCCCTAGATTTTGACATTTCTTTCGATCACTTTGGATTTTCTCCAGTCGCCTCCTCAGTTTAGACCCTTTGCATCACTGATGAGTCCCAGTCACAAGAAACAGCTGTACAATGCAGTTTAATTCATTGTTTGGCTATACTGTATGTTATTTAAATTTGTTTTAAAAGGTGCTATTTACTTGTGTCTTATGTACTACCTTAGAAATATCTTGCACCATTCTCTTAATTCATACATCTTTGAGTGGAGATGATAAATTTGGAAAGATGAAAGAGTAGAATCTGTAATTCCATCAGACTTCAGCAATTTATTTTCTGTTTGATGGAATGACAACGGAAACTATCTGACTGAGTACAGTGTATATATCACCTTTAAAAGGTCTTTATTATCATCAAGCAATACTATATAGTAATCAAACAAGTGAAAAGACAAGTAATCCTGTGGGGATCTTGGCTTGCAACACTGTGTGATCATCTTTATAAGCTGGATCCTTTCCTTTCAACTATCAACATCCCTGATTAAAACAATTATATTTCAGGTAAAAAAAATACACAATTCAGTCCCCCCTACCCCCACCAAATTTTCAGAACAATCCGAAAAAATAACACACTTGGTCAGGATCATCTAAAGACCATTTCAGCCAAGTTTCAGCTCTATCCAATAGGAGAGTTTTAAACATGTCTCGCTGATGGAAACCATGATTGTGCAATCATGTTACAAATTAGCTGTGATATTTAACATTTTACAAGGCTGAAAAATTTATTGCCTTACTTTCCTTAACATCCCCAACCAATTTTCAGCTAAATGGCACCAGTGAAGCAGAGATTTAATTTGTGAAAAATCTATGGCGGATGGCCATAGGTCATCTTGACTACAGGTCAGTAAACCTGACAATGGAAACCTACATATATATTAAAATACCCATCACAGCATAACTGAAAGGACTCAGAATTTGGTTTTTGAATAAATAGAGATCATAAAAAATTTATACAATCAAAATCAAAGATGGCCATCTGTCAGACCATGGACACAGGTCTACCTGAATAGTCAACAAACATTTAAAACTGCAATTGCTGTGAATGTACCATACTTCAATCTTGAGCAGTTTATGCTCCCATACAAGAATACTTCAAAGCTACATGTACATATCTTTAAACAATATTGTGAGCAGTCTGAGGGACTTCTGGGATTTCAGTAGCTGCCAAAAGTACACAGGTGCTTAAATAACACAGATTTTTACAACATACGTAAATACAGAAGATCTGAGAACAGGTGGTCATCTCACTAGCTTTGGCAACTGGGAGTGAAAGTCTGGAGACAGAAAGGTTGATGGTTCAAATCCAATAGATGGAAGGACATTTTTTCATTACTCTGTCCCATTACAAATTTGGTGCCATTGACAACTCTAAGGGTAGAAAATATAGGAGATTGAGATGCTTCCTTGGCAATATCGTACTAAGGTTGTTGTTGTCTTTGGGACTGAAGACTTTGTGAAGGAAAGATGAGTGTTAAATTTGAATGTACAGGTTGCCTTACTAACTTTGGCTGTAGCAGTAGAGTGTTTTGCTGGAGACCAGAAGGTTACTTCTGTTTGCGAAACAAGTTATTTCAACTTATACTAATCTACCTTGGTAGAAGAAAGTATTTTCTAAGAGCATGTTCTTCTTCTATCAATTTTTCATTCTCTTCAAACAGCATTGTATCTGTAAAAAATGTAGAATTGCTTACATTAGTATTCAACTTCCCCTTTTAATAATATTATTTAACAAGGACAATCAACATAAACAGCCTTTTTTGTATGTAAAAATAAAAAATCACTGACTATGTACGTAATAATAAAGACTTAGTATAACTGTGTTAAATACATGATAGAAATGTTATAAGGAAATGATGTACAGTGTTTTTACATACCATAGTCTGTTTCATAATATTGCCTTTTTTAAAACAGCTTCATTAAACATGTCCACATCACAATATCACAAAGGGATATACTTAAGTCCTTACATAATTCACCATATCAACAAACATACAAAATACAGTTTAATTTGTTGAATTTTTTTATAGATCTAGCTAGATTGACTTACTCAAACATATGCTGTACTATGATTGAACCACAACTGGTTTACTTTTCAATAGCCGTACAGTGTGAAATATTTGTGTACATTTTAAAATTGATGATAAATATGCTGAACAATGAAATTCCAACCGCAGCAGAAATTATAAGTGAACAGCACACAGACCTGTGTATTTAACCATTAATTTGCATAAAATCTATGATCCAGTCAGTGATGAGTTTCGGATTGCCCATTGAGCTATATTAGGACAATCTAATTTTATATTGGAAGGAGGTATTTTCATCGAACCTTAGGAAAGATATTTAAATGCTCACAATAGTTTAAGATTTTTAAAAACATGGCAAAAAAAGGTGCTAGAAATTAGCCAACTTGTGCAGCATATCTCTTTATGAGATGAGTTAATTGTACAAGTTTTATGAACACGTTTGTATCTGTACACAGTACCTTTCCTTTTAGGAAAGACGGGCCATGTAAACCTCTCATCGTTTAAATTTAAGGGCTCTCCTTTGGCATTGGTTATTCTTAGCGTTCCATCTTCCATGCACTTTTTGAGTTGATGATGTAAGGGTAAACCTTCTTTGTAATCAAAAGAAACTAGTAGTTTTCCATCTGCAACAAAAGTACATAGAAACATAGCAAGACAAGGACAAATTTCACAAAATATGGAATTTTCTCCCACCACACTACAACACATAGCCTGAGGAAAAAAACCCTCCTGGCCAGAGCACAATTGATGACTTTTTTTATAATACTAAAGCCGTAGTGCAGAAAAAACTCATTAACAAAGACAAGGATGTGATTTAACAACATTTTTAGAGGTTATTCAACGAAGTCTGTTTGACGTTTAAAATACATAAAAGACAATTTCTTTGAATATTTTACAAAATAGAATTCTTTGAGCACACACTCCCAGTTCATATATACTTAATTAATTCTTTACATGTTCATGTATCATATACCAATGATATTCTTACCACTATCATTTCCATCTGTAGTTGACGTGCTTGCTCCGACCAACGGTTGCTCCATTTTGTACTCTGTTTTGGATTCAGTGTTATTTGCACCATTTCTGGAGGGACCATCTGTTTGCCATCGTATGGGACTGCTAACAATTCTAGGAAGTCCATTCTTTAACTTTCGTGGATAACAGGATGTTATATAGATATAACGCTTAATTAAGCACTCTTTACATACTGTGGAGAAATCAATGAAAAAAGATAGTTTAAAATATTGGAGATTTAAGACTGACAAGAAATAAAATACAAAATATAAGCAATATGGATACAAATTTACAAAATGTCACATAAAAAGCATGAAATAAGTAAAAATATGAGTAACCATAACCACTTTCTTTCTATTTTTCTTTTAGTTTTAATATGGAAACAAACTTTACAGAAATCCCTAAAAGTTTGGTTCATTATTTGGTGTTTTCTAGAATGTACTAAAACAACGTCTATCTGCACTTTTACATCCCAGTAGTCACCTGTTTTGACAGTTCATAATTATATAATAGTTTATCTAATCAGATAAAAATCTTATAATTACTGTTTATGCAACTTGAGTAACTTGGTTTCGACTCCAGTCAATATTTACTTAAGAACACACTTGTTATAAACTTTAATCCATTAATTTTTTTCTGATATATACAGCTGTGAGGAAGGTTCTAAATAATCACACATCAGAGCCTTGAGGCTATAAAATGAAAGCATAACTAACCATAGAATGCAGATACAATGTAGTAGATTAAAAAAAAAAAAGAGAGAGATATCAAAGAAGGATGTTGTTATCATTTAGCCCCCCATCAATGTTTGATATTTATTTTTTCTTGAAAAATTGGATATCTTCCCTTCTTTTTTCTTTTGCTCTTAGTTAAATGAAATTTGAAAATTCCTGTCAGGAAAAAAACATAAATGATCTTTCACTGCCAAATCCAAATTGACAACTAGCCAGCCGTTTTGTTTTCTGATCAATCCCAAAAATTGAAAGGGTGCAACTTGGACCAAAGGAAACCTACATACAAATTTGAGACATATTAATCCATTACTTCTAAAAAGAATTGTGATAAAAAACTTTCATTATCAAAATCCAGTGTAGCTACCTGTCATCCATTGTTTTCTTCTGGCCAGTCCCAAAATCAAAAGGGCAGGACTACTGACCAAAGGGAGTCTACACATCAAGTTTCAGAAACATCTTTATATTACTTCTCAAAAGATACATTGTTGCAACAACAAACTTCAACTGTCAAAATCCAAGATGGCCACCATTATGGCTAAGCCATTTTTAACTGATAATCCATTTTCTTTTACTGATCAGACTCAAAATTGGATGAGCATAACTAGGAACCAAAGGGAACCTGTGTATGAAGTTGAAAAAAATCCAAATAGATATGTCCCCCTTCTCAAGGACAGTGATAACCTGGATTGTTTATTGTTTACAGCTAGATGCATGACAGACCACGCTGTAAGGTAATTTTGTATACCCCACAATCATCAGATGGTGTTCTAATAAAAGTTACCTTTGTAATTCTGAGATGATATTCCCAGCAGTGGGCAGACAACACCCAGTCCTTTAGAGGAGTTCAATCGAACTGGCAACATCGTCTCAGCTTACTTAAAATAAACAAAACAATATTATCACAAATTGATCATCATTATATCAATAAGTAATTTGCAATATAAACCTCGTTGTGTTTTCCATTCCCCATCATCCCTCAACGAATGGTGTCTTCAGTTAGTTCAAGGAAAGAAAATATAAAAAACAACAAAAAATGGTATTTTTAAGGCTTATGACTCGAGCACAACATGCTTTCTCTTTCGCGATCAACCTTGAATGTCAAGTAATGACTTTATTTGAACTCGGTTTGGAATTCAAATAACGATTCTTTCATATATCGAATCATCTTATTTATTTTTCTTTTAGTTCTTGGGATACATATACCCTAAATAATCTGTCACTGGGACTCGACTTTTTACTCAAAACACATTCAAATGTACTCAAATAAACAATTGGTGTCATTTGCTTTGCCAGATCGCATATCGACCAAAATAGCACTTAAACATCGATGATATAATACGATCACGAATAAATAAAGTTCTTAAACCAATTTGGTAATAATTGATTCTTATTTTGCGTAGGGTCTCTCACCTTTCAATGCAGCAGCCATATATAAAGCAACTCCTGACCAACTTCCGGTACTGATGACAAGAACAGATAACTCTATCACGACAATTTATTCATGGCAGTTTCTTCTGCATCTGTCTAATTTGCAGGGTTGTATATGTCACAACAGTTGTGTAAAACATTCCAAAGACCTTTTTGAACCGACACAAGAGTATGCACTTCATCCATTTAATAGTTGATTAGATTTATCAATGAAACTATTTGTTAATCTCAGGTAAAACACTGCACACAAGTTAGCTGAAGTTATGAAACACTGATCTGCTAATATATACTGTACATATTGTAGTTAATCCAAGGGTAGTCTGAAGTATTCAGAATATCTGTTTGCTGAAACGGAAGATAGCCAGTGCTCTGCAGATTATACCTGCACAATATAATGTACATACTCTCACATTATCTCGTTTATATTTTCTAAATCTCTTAAATCTGAGCTTCAGTTTTAAGCTGAAATTCACCATTTTGATTTGTCACATAACAACTATTATATTTCAAACTTACTACTGTCCTGTTAAATGTAAAGATATGAGCCAAGAAACTGACATGTGAACATTTTCCGAACTTTTTATTTCGAATTGATTTGAAATTACTAACAAGTCAAGTATGATTTTCTATTTTTTAAGTTCAATCTTTCCAACAAGCGACCATGCTGTACTTGAAAACATCTTCTAGACTGAAAACATATGCAGTGTTGAGGAAAACAAAACAGATATGGAAAAAGTGGCTATCAACTTTAAATATTACAGATCAAAACAACTTGGATTACATACAAAAGGTATAGAATTCATGTTGAAATTTGTATCTTAATTAAAATAAATTAGGAAAATTTAGACTGGTACAGTAGAATACATGTTGAAATATGTGTGAGTAATTATCGTAATAAAGAATGCCATACTCATACTGCATTTAAAAAACTATGATAGATAAGAATCACACATTATCCTAATCCTCTCTGTTTTAAAGCAGCATATTTGATCCTTGTGATGTTAAAGAAGAAAAACTTGACCTGTTGGACTTTGCAAGTATTAAGCCAAAGAAAAACAGTCAATGAAATGTTACTTCTCACATTTAAGCCATGTGACTTTGAAAACAACATACCAGGTAGCTTTAATCCTTTGAAAAAACTCCCTTTTCTTCCTTTTATCCAAGTATGCTCCAGCTACAGTTTGAAGCGTGTTAGGGTAATTAACTAGCAGTTTGTAGCAGAAAGCCAATATTTGATCTTTTCACGAAAAAAAAAACAATGATTCGGAAACTTTTAAAAGATTTTAATACATTTGTCAAATAAAACCTTTAAAATGTCACCCTAGCTGTCCTAATCACAATGTCAAATATTTTGACTCCAGGTAAGCTGGCTAGGAAAGGTGTTTGATATTGAAAAAGCATAAGACTACTGCCAAGGTCAGTTTTTAGCAAACTTGATATTTCAACGCCCACCCCAACTTAGTATGTGTTGGCCTAACCATGATAATGACTTTAAGCTTCTCGGTTGATGCAACAACACATGCTCAATTGAGCTTTGGGCTGGTGTGCTGAAAAATGAAATTTTTCACTAGGGACGTGTTAATCAATCTGTACACTCTCACTACTGGAAAGTATGGACAAAATTTGAAATGTACATCATTTGTTTTAAAATATGTTTCAAATATTTTCTTTTACCGTTTCCAGATAAAACGATCAGAGATTGCAGGGTTACCCATAGTTCATCACCATGGTTATGTAAGTGACCTACCAATCAAACATCGGTTTGCTATGAGGAAGTTTCATGGTGTCATGAGGTATTTAAGAAAAGACAACGTTATATCAGCTAAGCAAGTGGTAGAACCAGCATGGATAGATACAGCAGACATATGCACTGTCCACACTGAGGATTACGTACACAGATTCCTGAATGGCTTGACAACAAAGAAGGAACAGCAAATCACAGGGTTTGAATGGAGTCCAGGCTTAGTCAGTCGATGCAGATATGAAACAGGTACCTACAGGTAGGATGAATCCAGTATTTCATACCTTCTTTCGAAGGGTGTTGAAGCCATCCCTACAGCCTTTTGAAGCATTCAAATCTAAAAAGACAGAATTATATTTTTCAGGAATGCCATTCAAAATACACAGGACCCCATTTAATCTGATAAAAAAAAAAATTATTCCAACCCAAATATTGTTAAGTCAGGGGGCCAACTCAACCCTGTGAGTGAGTTGTTAGGTAAACCGATTACAGAGGAATGAATTAACATAGCTGACATTTTGAATATTAAGGAAATAGATGATGATATCTTGTATTAGATAATATTAGAATTGTTTTGTAGTCTATTCAAATAATAAATCATTGAAAGGGTTAAAAATTTCACAAAATTATGCTTTTGAAAAGGTGGGACTCTCTTAGCTGCCAGATTAGCACTGGAAAGGGGTATTGCTTGTAGCACAGGAGGAGGGACCCATCATGCTTTCCCTGGATATGGTTCTGGCTACTGTCTAATTAATGACCTTGCCATCACGGCTGCGACCTTGATCAGGGATAAAATAGTAGACAGGGTGCTCATTGTTGACCTGGATGTTCATCAGGTAAAATAGTTGGAATGGTCAGTGATGTCAAAGGTATTTGTTAAGAGAATACACATGAAGTTTGATATTACCTGAATGTTTACAGGCCTGTCTTATAAAGCAGTTCTTCCTGTTAAAGGGATCTGCATTATCTTACCCCACAAATGTAATGGATCATCTTAAATGAGTTTTTATTTCATATGGGATTTTATGGAAAGAAGTTTTTATTTTTTGAGCCTTCTAATGTAGTTGAAAAAAAAAATCAATTTTCATGCAACGTATTCTTGTACTTGATATGATTTCTCTTACCTCATGCTTTGTATCTGTGTCAGGGGGATGGTACAGCAGCCATTTTCCAACACAACGATGATGTATTTACATTTTCCATCCATTGTGGTAAAAATTTTCCCCACAGAAAACAGTTGAGTGACCTAGACATAGAGTTGGATCCCGGAACAAAGGTATTGAATTTAATTTCCAAGGCATTTCTTATATGTAGAATCTGGCACTCTGTGTTCCACACTATCCCCCACAAAAACAAAAAACCAACAAAAATTTCAGCCAGATCGAAATTTTCCAAATTGGCAAGGAAAAACATTGAAAATTTATACAAAAATCTTTTATCAGTATTTTTTCTCTTCATAAGAATTCAGATATATATATCTACTAGTTTGTTTGCTGAGTTCATTTCTTCATGAACAGCCAGGTGATTTTGAGGTAGGGTCTCATTATTATAGCTGGTGACTACCTCAATGAACAACATATCCAGAGCAGTTAGGGTAAAATGTCTCACACAAAGACACATCAGAACTGATCAGTCTGTTTCTCTGTAAATAACATGTGGTTACATGGACCTACGCTACAACCATAATTATGTATTTTGTGGAAAAGAATGGTATTGATTTTCAGGAGTATTGCGTGGTAGATATATTTTTTCTTCAAATCAAGTATCAAGTTATCAATGTGAATTTTTCTCACAGTCATTCTTTGAAAATCGGGTATTAAATGAAGATGTATAAAACAACCAGTATGTTAATTCATTGTTTAATGTTATGTAGGATGTGGAATTCCTCGAATGTTTATCAACACATCTACCTTGGGTGATTAACAGCTTTCGCCCCAACCTCATTTTATTTGATGCGGGTGTTGATCCACATGTTAAGGATGAATTAGGAAAATTGAATCTTTCTGATCAAGGTAAGTTCTAAAACTAATGCATCTGATCATAGTGAGTAATGATCATATGTCCATATCTAGATTCAGTTTGTCAGACCAGGTTGAATAATAAATCTTATTTGTCTTATTAGAGTACCACTTCTAATATGTCTTATCAATGAGTGTACCACTTCCAATGTGTGTAATCATAGAGAGTTCCACTTCTAATGTGTCTGATCAGTGAGAGTATGTTTAATGTGTCTGACCATCGTGAATACCAGTAGTAATGTGTAAATAATAAAAACAAGATGTATGAAGATGCCATGGGTCTAGACCAATTTTCCAGATATATGATAGAAAATTCCCTATGATTATTACTTCTTAAAGGAACTGTGAAAACGTTGTTTCCAGGCATTGTTGGTACCCAATCCTGTACATGTATATCTTCTTTGATGAAAATTCCAGTAATTCACATATTTTATATGATTTTTCAGGATTATTTGACAGAGATAGTTTTGTGATTGATACAGCATTCAACCTTGGCATCCCTATAGCAACGGTGATAGGAGGAGGTTATCAACGAGACCTGGATATGTTGTCAAGAAGACACACTATAGTACACAGGGCGGCCATGAAGGTGATGTTGCTATTTATGTTTTTATAGCTTGAATATGTAGGAAATTATAGATAATTTATTGTTAGAAAATATTGCAAAGAAAAAAGACAAAACAAATATCTCCCTTTTGACTGTTTTTTGAAATATTTATGGTGAATACAGGTACACTCTGCAATCATATACATACACCTTTTCAACAATGGGGGACCCATACAGCATGTATTACTTTGAATTGAAGTGCTAGTAATTATTGTATAATAATAATCATTAATTTCATTTTATATTTCCAGGTGTGGTGTCAGCAGACCCAGCACAATACAAGTACCTATGGCATTGCAGTGTGACAAGTTCTACAGGATTAGAATTCTCAATGCATTATTGTTAGCAACTGTCTGTATCAATGATCTGACTTTACTTTTGTTCTGATGACATGAAGAAACCTGTAGAACAAGGCTGCTTTCATGTAAGCAGTTGAAATGGTTAGACTAGTTGATTCTGCAAGAAAAACACCAGGTACAGATTGAGTGAAATGGATGGTATCTTAATATTAGATCATTGTTTTATGCTCGAAAGGAAATTCTGAAACTATGCATTTTGAGCATTACATGTATCGGTTCCAATATCTTGTACATGTGTGTTCGTATATAGTGGAATAATTCTGTACTTCCTGTACTCCTCTAACCAGGTTACGTGAAAGCTGCCCAAGACTCCTTAAAAAAATCCTGAAAAACAAGCAGATCTTTGCTGCATTGTCCACCTCATTGGATGTAAAACTTTGCTAGTAAGGACTTCTTTATCTCAAGTATCGAGACTTTTTTCTCTCGAATCAATACACATTGTACTCAGAGAATTTATCCCATAGTATTAACTTGGATTTTACCTTGATTTCATATGTACACTATGTACATAATCTAAAGATGGTTATTTTGTGAAGAACCTAATAATTACTGTTTTCAGGGTGAAATATAAATAAAAAACCTGGAAAAACCTTAGAAAGAGATTTTGTATTGAACTGCATCGCCTGCTTTATCATTCATAACAAAACTACATTTAGTTTGCTTTCAACCTGTGTAAGACTGCAAAAATTTGAACCATCTGAAAAAACAGATTTCACAGTTTGTAAGCAGTTTTGTCTGAAGAAAATTCTGTAAACGTACTTATTTTACCAGCAATCGTTTCTTGCATTGAATGTTCTGTACTAAAATATGATTGTGCCAATGAAAGTTTTTGTTTGTTGTTGTGTATAAGTATTATTGTGGATGCCCAAATTCATCATTGCGCTAATCTGCCAAAAAAGATGAATTGAAGTATGTTAACAGTATTACAAGAATATATATATACACACCGAGATTGTGAACAGTTTGTCAATATCACATGTTCAGTTTGGCAGTTGTCTGGCAGTCGTTGGTTGTACAGGGCAATCCCATAATTGATTTTAAATACATGAATGATGCTTACAGCAAATATTAAAGAGAATACCATCTGGTCATGATTTGAAGGAACGATGTTGGATATAAGCAATCATAGATGTTTACTAATCTGTGATATTTAAGAAATTTAACCAATGGATTCAAAATTATCTAGAGGGGGTCAACAGACAAACATGTACACTAGATAGCTGGGCATCAGATCTAGAGACCAATTTTTACATGTATCAATGGCAGGGTGTTTTATGAACCAGTGATCGAAATTAAAGATGCCACTTGTTGGCCAATTTGTTTTTAAATTGGTCTTTGAATTAAACATACTTAACAAGGAAGCATGGAGAACTTTCATCTTTAGCTTACATAGTGTTCAGGTGTTCATTGCATCAGATAAGGTTAAACTGATAATGAACTATATCTGATTGTTCTCGCATCACTAGTCCGAATAGTTGTGGTACAGGGGAGTTGTAGCATGAAATTTGATAAAGCTCCATTAAGGACTTCTCAAGAAATGAAAATAACATTTACAAGCACTCTTACAATGATTTATCTACTGAAATGGTTTTATGTATATGTATAGTTCATCGTACATCTGGAGGATTCTTTTGTTTTTTTATAAACGGCACTAGATGCATTGATTTGTATGTATATGCAAACTTTTTCACTCTTACCCATTTGTTACAAAATATAAACATTTGTATAGCTTTAATTGCTTAAAATGTTCACATATGCATCAGTAGAAATTACATCTCAAAATTGCTCTCTTTAGCAGTTTTCCAATGTACAGAAATCTTGGAAGTTTATTCTTCTGCTAAAATGCAAGTGGTGACATGAAATATATCAAGTGCTAATAAGTGTTATGACCGATCCGGAAAATAAGAGCTAAACTTGGAATATGTTTATAATATATATACATAAATCTCATACATAAACAAGTGTTCTATTTATAATCCTACTTAGAGAAATTCACACAAGAACAGAAATACTTTCATTCTTTCTGACATAGTAGTACTTCTTGTTCTTATTTACTGTGGAGTCCATAAGAATCTCATTATCCACACTAATATTAGGTAAATGTTTAAAGGGTTGCTGGGTCACCAGTAAATGGTGCACTGATTCTTTCATATTGCCCACCATCTTGGTTAGCACCATCTGTTTCATGCATGGCTGGCACGTCTCAAATGCATGTTTCAGTGAGGGTGTATGCATGGGGAAGGCAAACACATGGCTCTGAGAGATGTCCTCCTGTTGGTAGTGTGACAACATAGCTCTTGCACAGATTGCCAGATTAAGACTGGGGAGATTAAGAAACAGCTTCAACATTACGACCATTTCCAACACATGGTGCATTTTCTCCAAGTTGATGAGTTTCTGTTCCAATTTCACATTTGTTTTGAGAAAGTATTCAAGATTACTGTGTGTGACAAGCTCTTTTGCCAGGAATGTGAAGATATAGTCTTGCTGAAGTTTCTCTGCACCAATTTCTGCTAAAAGTTGAAGAGCATACACTCCTGCGAGGTTGGGCATGTGAAGCTTACCAACATAGGAATCACGTACCATCTGTGCCACTGTAGTATTATTATTACGATGAACCATTGGTCGAAGCTCACCATTACTCAGCACTGTGAAGACATGTCTGAAACATTCAACAAGCTCCGTGTATGATTTGCACTTGTACAGAACAGTCCAGAGATGATCTGTGAAATCAAAATCCTTTCTTTCATGGAACACCAGAGTATCCATCACATTGTTGAATTCATCATCATTTGGCTCATCACCTGAGGTTGTCAGCTGACTGGCATCTCCATGCTTCAAGATCTCTAATAGACCCTATGGGTAAAAAAGACAATTTTGTAAAAAGTTGACACAATTCATGTATTTATAGCTACTCTCTCTGTGGCTCTCTTTCACCTCAACATATTTATAAATGGTTGCTCGGGAATAATTAGAATAACACTTTGCACCAGTTAACAAAGGTTTATTTGCTTTTTATTAGTACCCATTTATTTACCAGTTCTTTGATTAATGAAAAAAAAGGAAAAAATGGTGCATATATGAAGTAAATATATATAAAATTACCTTGAGTTTGTCCATAACAGACGTCTCTTCTTCATACTCAATCCACCTTATTTCAGATGTAGTCAAACCTATGATAAATACATTTGTATCATCAGTGTATGTATAAATAATTCTGCAGTCTCACCATTACTTCAATTCATCTGTTCCAAAAATGTTCAACATTATTTTTAAGATGGGAAACACAACAGGTCTGATTGGGTCCAATTTCATGATCAGGGAAAAATGAACAAGAGGTGCAATTGGCTTGTATAGTTTTGTACATTTTTTGTAGCTCATGAAAAATGCACTAGAAATATAAATTGACTTTATCAGTCATTGAAATAAAAGATTAGGAAAAGTTAGGAAACTTTAATGTTTCATATACAGTGTATATTATAAACACTTCTTTCAAATAAATTTAAACTTCCAAGTAGACTAACATCAAATGATAGATTTCTTAGTAGTTGAAAATGTGAAATTTTAACATGTTGAACTTCTGAAATCTGTCCAGAATGAATGAACAATGGGTGAACATTTTTGTGGATCTCAGTATTCTGGACGGATAGTAAATCTGACATCTGTGATCTTTGAAGTGGCTTAACTTATATAATTAATTTAATAAAAAAAGGATAGACCCATATCATTTCTTCTTAATACTGAACAAATGTCATGGTGGTGGGGTCAGATTCTCCATTTACACAAAATTTTATTAGGCTTAACCCAAGGATGCCCTTGACCAAATTTTGTTCATATTTTTGAACATGTAGGTCTCTAGGTGCTATTAATACAGATCATAGAATCTTAATAATGGACCTGTGCAGTTTATATTTTCTATACCTATAATGTGAAGTTTGAGAGCTTCTAATGCGTTGTATAAACTATGAGCAGCACTTCTCATATCTCCTGGTAAAACCTTGGCTTTTATAACAGTTCTTGCATCCAAAGGGGGAGCACTGGCAAACTTTTTCCATCGTACCTCCAGCTGCAAAGAACCCTGGTATTTATCAACAGGCTGGCGATCATTTTCTTGGTGTGATTCAAAAAGATCATAATTTGCCTCACACTCTATTTCTTTCCCGGATAAATCCAGTTTATGGAAATTAGGCAAATGTGAATCATCACTCTTTGGATCCTTCACAAAGGCTGAAGAAATCCTCCAACCTGCCCATTTGTTTGACTCCAGTGCTTTCAAGTAGACTGGCTCAATATGCATACATGCTGTTCTTTTATGGTCCGAGCCATCACAGAGAATGAACAATGAGGGAATTTTGTTTACAGTTGCGCCTGTGTCCGGATCAGTGTCAAAGTTCTGGTTTCCACTTGACACATGGGATGAGTATGCAAGAGACATATATGATGCAATTTCTCTTGCCTTGTGCAAAGTAACACCGGTTGCCCTGACAACAGTTCTTTTTCTGACACTGAGTGATACATCAGAAGATGGAGATGAGAAACTGAAATCAGCATACGTCTGTAGCTTCAATGGAGAGCCTTCTACTTCACTTTGACTATGGCTCACACTTCGTGGTTGTCGAGATTTTGATGAAATGTCATCGTTTGTGTTTATATCTGGTACAATGTATTCTTCTTCTGTAACATCAGCATCTACCGATGAACTCACAAGAATAACGGGGAATTGGAAATCAAACAACTGCTGGGGAACTATATCGATAAGATTTTCTTCGTTCGCGACTGAAAATTTGCTGTCTTTAAACACCTTTTTCGTCTGTTTATCCGGATTATATAATAAAGTGTCTATCACCTCTTTAAACTCAAAAATATACCTCTCATCCATTTTAAAAGGACCACCATCAAACGTTTATGTCTATCCGCCTTTAAATCCAGCGCCTTCCAGCAACCGGTGCGTGTATAAAAAAAAGTTCGAAGGGTTCCGTATTCGTTTGAAACATGTGAGTTGGTTGGTGCAAGTTACTCCAAACTAGCCAATGAAAGCGCTTGTCTCAGAAGATAGACGGATCTTGGATAAAAATGGCTGACGACTTTAAGTATGAACCGCACGTGGAATATACTTTCTTCCATTTTGTCCATGCATTTACGCTTATGTCCTTATTTTGGGGTGTTAACTGTTAGGTATTGTCAGTGTCTGTCCTTATGTGGTGTTGTCTTGAGACGTGTTCGTGTCCAGGTGTGATCGGTGAGGAAGATGTGCGAGAGTGAATGTGTAGAGTAACAAAACTAGGGATACCCCTGGGTGCGGGACAGAACTACAGAATAACTACGTCGCTCTGGACGACCTCGGGAGTCCAGGCGCCACATATAGCGACAGGTATACATTATAGATACGACCCGACGGTCGGTGGAAACCAGATAGCAAATATATATGTGCATGTCATTTCTAGGCCAGGGGTACAAATAAAGGAACTTTAAACACACAACGAATTCTATTTGATGGTGTGACATTTGGCGCCCATGTAGGGACCCGGGAATCGTACTTCGCCATGCCCCACCGGCATCGCTATAACCCTGGACGAGTTATTTCCTGGATGGGGAGTATGTAGCCCTAGTAAACTACTAGCCGCAATATACCATTCGGCTAGAGAGAACATCTCTTTAGCTCGATTGGTTGGGCGTCAGACTAGTAGGGTTCGATTCCTGGCGGAGGCATTGAAATAAAAAATGACCTCTGTTACACAATACTTAGCTAAACCTTTATTAAACAACACTTGAATCTACTTTCTGTTTACTTTTTTGGCAGGATGGGAGTTGATGGTAGATTATTCGTAGTTTTATCAACTGAACACCACAGCATATTCCAAACAGTTATATTATTCAAACTTTCATTCTTGTCCCAATAGAAAGGAATAGACATCGGAAGTTTCATCCTTTTGTCCATAAGCCAATTTTCAACTCTGTTATTGAACACAAAACATTTAATTTGTTTTCCCTTCTCTTTTTAACAGAATAGCAAAGCCCATTGAATTCTATAAGAAGTTTCTGGTAAGTGAATAAGATATTACATGTTGTCAAGATAAATTTAAATGTATGTAGCGCCTTAAGACATCTGTTGTTATTTGTAGTTTTTAACAAGAATCCATACAGAGTCTTCCATAGAGGTTACCGTAACTAGCATTATCTTTTGTGGAGAAATCATTAAGGAATGTAACATGAAAATGGTTACTAATAAGGTTCAAAGTACACAAATTATATAAGACATAATATAATATGTGTACAGTTTGATATTACCATTGTTATCAGATATATTCCATTATTGACAATCAGTCAGTATTAATCTGTACAGGAGAAAGATGTGCGACCAGATGGCAGGGAACTTGGAGAGTTCAGGCGAACAGTACTTAACATAGGTAAATTTGCCTAAATTTGATCAAAGGTTATATGAACACATGAGGTTACTTTTGTATCAGGTTGCTTGATTTGATTATAAGTCAATAATTAATAAAGTTCTGCTCAAGCCATAAGGAGAAATGATACTTTGAAGAATTTTAAAAAGAAAAAGATATATTCAGGAAACACTATGCCCGAGAAGGGGTACAGGGGCAGTTTCAAATAATATAATATAGATATCCAATTGCATCATGATGCTCCTTAAATTTATATATCTTTAAATATTACAGTCAATACACTCCTAGCTATAAAATATTTAATTACATCCCTTGGAAATACATGGAAATATAATCTCTATATTGATAATAGGATGTAGAGTTTAAATATCAGAATGGAATATTAATTATTTCTCTTGTAGGTTGTGTTACAACTGCTGAGGGCTCTGCTCTTGTCAAGCTTGGAAATACAACAATTATGTGTGGAATCAAGGCAGTAAGTGTTATTGTAGATCAACAATGAATACAGAACAATTAAGATACATTTTAAAGAAGAACTTGGTTATTGTCGTCAACTCATGTTCTAATTGCACTACAGAACTTTCCAGTACTGCAGGTAAAATTATATACAAATGCAACTGCAATTGTACCATAGATCAGTAGCAGTGATATTGATTTGAATGAAATATTAATACATTTCAAGTTCCAAACAAGAACATGGAAGGGGGCTAGAGCTTTGCATTGTCTGTCTGTCCCTTCCTTGGTCCTTCTATGCTCCATCTCCGACATTACTTGTCATTTGAACTTCATACTTGGGCTATGGATTCACCTTGGTAAGGCAGTGTGTCATGTATCAAAAATGGGTCACTCTTATCTATATTTAGAGCTTTGACCTACATCAAAGACTGTCTCCTACAATGCTAGTCACTGGAATTTCTTACATAGGGATAGATTCACTTGCAGAGTATTCATGGCAAATAATTCCTAATTTGGTAGAGGACTGTAATTCTACCAGATTTGATCGGGGACTGTAATTCATCGAATGGTCGTGTTTTCCTTTTTTGAATATCATGGAATTAATTTGGTCATTTTCACAATCATTAACTGCTTTTCTTGTGAAAAATTGTCTTCTTTTTTTAGGAACTAGCTGCGCCAAAGCCTGCTGAGCCAGATAGAGGATTCATTGGTAAATGTTCAATTCTTTCATTTACTATTTTAATATCATATATTATATATATATATATATTGTTCTTTTGTTGAGTTATTGAGTAAGTCACATTTTCACCCAAAATTTTAAGATTAAATCTGAATTGTCATTATAATGTCTATTGTGAATCAGCTCCATCAATTTAGCAGTAGTTGATTCATCTTACCTATGATTACTTTGATCACAGGTTTTCATTTTATTTTCCAATGTGTTTAGTGGATTACATATATACACACACGCACGCACGCACGCACATGCAATTACCTGACTTGTATTTAATATATATTTTGGATGTAACAAAAAATTACTTGTCACTACAGTGTACCTGTAGTTCAAGTATTGCTTTGCAATATTAAAATCAAGGCTACATGAACAAAAGGGTTACCCGAAGCATTCAATTTCAATTGATGGATCAAGCGAGGAACTTGTGAATAATTTGTAAAATATAAGAGAAAACGTTCTTTCTACTATTCAGGAAGTCAGTGTAAGAAGTGCTCTTTGTTTCAGTACCTAATGTACAGCTGACACCTCTCTGTTCTCCACACTTCAGGCCAGGACCTCCCAGCGAACAAGCCCAAGTTATGAGTCAGTTTGTTGCAGAAGTCATCAAAAAGTAAGGACATTGTTTTAAGGACATGTACAATTTCTTGTACTTTCCTTCATGTTCATTACACTGTATATTTTTGGGAACAGAATATAATACAAGATATATTTTTATATGACATCATATATAAATCACTCTCGTTGATCTGGATTGAATGTGTTAGAGGTTCCCTAGTACATAAAAGATGATTGTGTAACCACTGAACCATTTAACCACAGAGTCAAATTGATCACCAATTACACATGAATGATATTTATGTTAATTTTTATCAATGTGTGGATATGTTCTTTCAGGGGACAGACTTTCAACTCCATATTGAAAACAAACTTTATAATAAAAAGGGTTAAATAAAGCATAGCTAAATGGAATAGAGTACATTTTTACCATCTTGTGTATTTTCTCGTCATCTCATCACTTTATTTTTAACCGTAGTGTACATAAGATAAGTACAACTGAAAAAGTTGGTTCATTCCTTACCATCTTATACACATTGGACGTCGGTGCTAGTACGCTTCACACTGGTCATTTGTCTGATGAAGATGACCATGTAGTCTTTGAAATGTCACACTCTAGTCTTCTTTAACTATTAACACTTTAACACTTGAAACATTTAGAAATAAGGCAAAGTTTGTGAAATAAGATAATATAGTGACTAACAATTTTCATTTTTGATGATTATTTACACAGAAAATGAAATAAACATGTCCTGTCATCGCATTCAACATGATTTTCCTTAGAATACAAACCATAATGATGCTTAAATTATTTTAAGACTTTTTTCCATTACAGTTCTGGATGTGTTGACTGTCAGAACTTGTGTGTGGTGCCTGGAAAGGTAAGAAAACCGGTCAGTTGTCACATTGACCTCATTATGAGAGACACATTTCATCATGAATGAAGTGATACTGTATAATCATGATTTTTTGAGAGTAATTGATTTTTATTAATTTCCTGGGTACTCAGTATCCATAGATTTATATATCCCCAAAGTGTTACAATTATCATGAAAAAACTTATTGAGATAGATTTTTACAAAATCAAATGTCCTTGAAATGATAAATTTTTTGAAGGCTACAAAAATTTAGCCGCATGAAAATATATGAATTAACAGTAGCTGGGGGTTAGAGGCCAGTGAGGGTTACCTATACCACTTTTATTTATTATGGTCCATATGGCTTGACTGGCTGGATAAGAATGATTCATTTATGGAATTAAGCACAGACCTGGGTTTTAATTCACTTATGGAATTAAGTACAGACCTGAGTTTTAAGCCTAATTTGCTTTTTGTGGAGAGCTTAAGAACAAAGACTTACAAATTTGCTTTAACATCAGCAAGTTTGTCGGAGGATCATGTGTCAAATGGAATGATTAGTTATTTGAGGTTCAGATAAACTGATTACAATAGCTTGACTGCGGTCATACCATTTATAAAAATGTCATATGCACTCTATACATATTGTTTTTGACATTAACATCTTATGATATTTCTCAGCTGGTATGGGTTCTGCACTGCGACCTGATGTGTTTGGACTATGATGGAAACATCTTTGACACTGCCATGTTGGCACTACTAGCAGCATTCAGAAATAGTAAGTTCAGAACAGGAACTTGTACATTTTTGGGTTGACAAGAATGAGGTACCCTTCATATTTATCTAACATCAAATGGAAATTTTTTTTTGGGAAAAGAAATTGAATACAATATCAAGAGTTTTTATTAGAAAATTGAGATTAGATTATAGGTTTTCTAGAGCAGTAATGCAGCAGTGATTCACTTGTCTTTCACCTAAACTTCTGTAGTTCTGTTACCTGAAATGATATGAAAAGGTCACCTGCCTAAACACGGGTTTCCTCCCAAGTATTCCAGTTTCCTTCAGCAGTAAGACTCGTCTTGCACTTCCATGTAGGCCAACAAGAGTGATTGATATTAGTTTGAATTACTTGCTTTGCAACTGTTGTAAAATAAATAGTTTTATTGAAAAGTTTTCATGATTTGGCTTCTATAGATATACCAGTATGATGTGAGAGGGGAAGCATTTCGATATAGGATGGTGATGTTTTGCCTTATCACTGACTTGTCTTACAGGATGTTAGTCTTTATATTACATTAAACATAATTTTACCTGTCCACAGCTCATTTGCCTTTGGTCGAGGAGAAGGATGAAGTTCCTGAGGTTAACATGGATAAGATATCACCGTTAGTTGTCTCTTCACATCCTGTGTCATGTACATTCTCAATATTTGATGAGTAAGTAGTTAACAAGGTAATTGATGGTGGTGCAGGGTGGGGGAGCAGGACAAAAGTGGATAAGAGACACAAGTTAACTGAATATAATACTGTAAAAAGAGATGGACTGGGGTTAAGTTTGTGTTTTACATCTAGGTATAAAATCTTCTATTTAGTATAAAGTGATCAGACTGATACAGGCTGCATGTGCCTCTTTATCAAAGTTTCCTGTAAAATTATCCTTGTACCATTACAGTCGTATCCTGTTTGTGGACCCCACGGTGGAGGAAGAGGGCCTGTCTACTGGCATGGTTACCATAGTAACAGTAGGCGACAAACTCTGCATGGTACACAAACCAGGTTGGTAACTATTGATCTGCTAGTGAATGGTGTGAGCTAGGTCGACAAAGTTAAAAACCATATACTGGGGTATAGATATCATACGTTTAAATGACTGTATCTGGAAAGGCTGTGTTTTTATATTTAGTTTGGTATTGAACTGTTTTTGGTTTGTGATATTTTATTTTATCACCAGTTAAATTTTTCAAATTTGCTTTGAGTTTTATTCAAAATTAAATATTCATTGGCTTGTTATTGTAGCTTCAGTTTGAAGTGAATTCTGAAGTGTGTTTTAATGCTATCTTAAAAATGGTGCTTAAGGTAGACCTCGTCTCTGTGTATATTCTGTAAGATTTTAGGAAACAAGTGAATAGCTGAATTAAGTAGATACAGTAAAGTCAAATAAAGATTAAAACTGCAGGGATGAAAATGGCTTTAATTTTGAAACCTAGGAACCAACTGAGGAAAATATGAAGTGATCAAAAGATGTCATAATCTAGTATAAATGTTTTGTGACCAAGTCATTTAGATTAAAATGAGACCAACAGGGCCATAGAAAGTAACTCTTTTCCTTGTAATCATTTATTATCACTAATGACATACTTAACTTTGAAGTCTTCTCTTCACAAGTGACTGTTGCAGCACTTTAAAGCCTGAAGATAAGTAAAATCTTCTGAATAGACTAAGATAGGTCAATATACATCTAAACTGAAACTAATTCTCAGGCCCCTGTGATACAGACCAGGATAGTTTATTGTTTACCTAGACTAACTAATTCTCAGGTCCCTGTGATACAGACCAGGATAGGTCAATATACATCTAAACTGTAACTAATTCTCAGGCCCCTGTGATACAGACCAGGATAGTTTATTGTTTACCTAGACTGTAACTAATTCTCAGGTCCCTGTGATACAGACCAGGATAGGTCAATATACATCTAAACTGTAACTAATTCTCAGGTCCCTGTGATACAGACCAGGATAGGTCAATATACATCTAAACTGAAACTAATTCTCAGGTCCCTGTGATACAGACCAGGATAGTTTATTGTTTACCTAGACTAACTAATTCTCAGGTCCCTGTGATACAGACCAGGATAGGTCAATATACATCTAAACTGTAACTAATTCTCAGGCCCCTGTGATACAGACCAGGATAGTTTATTGTTTACCTAGACTGTAACTAATTCTCAGGTCCCTGTGATACAGACCAGGATAGGTCAATATACATCTAAACTGTAACTAATTCTCAGGCCCCTGTGATACAGACCAGGATAGGTCAATATACATCTAAACTGAAACTAATTCTCAGGTCCCTGTGATACAGACCAGGATAGTTTATTGTTTACCTAGACTAACTAATTCTCAGGTCCCTGTGATACAGACCAGGATAGGTCAATATACATCTAAACTGAAACTAATTCTCAGGTCCCTGTGATACAGACCAGGATAGTTTATTGTTTACCTAGACTAACTAATTCTCAGGTCCCTGTGATACAGACCAGGATAGGTCAATATACATCTAAACTGTAACTAATTCTCAGGCCCCTGTGATACAGACCAGGATAGTTTATTGTTTACCTAGACTGTAACTAATTCTCAGGTCCCTGTGATACAGACCAGGATAGGTCAATATACATCTAAACTGTAACTAATTCTCAGGCCCCTGTGATACAGACCAGGATAGGTCAATATACATCTAAACTGTAACTAATTCTCAGGCTCCTGTGATACAGACCAGGATAGTTTATTGTTTACCTAGACTGTAACTAATTCTCAGGTCCCTGTGATACAGACCAGGATAGGTCAATATACATCTAAACTGTAACTAATTCTCAGGCCCCTGTGATACAGACAAGGATAGTTTATTGTTTACCTAGACTAACTAATTCTCAGGTCCCTGTGATACAGACCAGGATAGGTCAATATACATCTAAACTGTAACTAATTCTCAGGTCCCTGTGATACAGACCAGGATAGGTCAATATACATCTAAACTGTAACTAATTCTCAGGCCCCTGTGATACAGACCAGGATAGTTTATTGTTTACCTAGACTGTAACTAATTCTCAGGTCCCTGTGATACAGACCAGGATAGGTCAATATACATCTAAACTGTAACTAATTCTCAGGCCCCTGTGATACAGACAAGGATAGTTTATTGTTTACCTAGACTGTAACTAATTCTCAGGTCCCTGTGATACAGACCAGGATAGGTCAATATACATCTAAACTGTAACTAATTCTCAGGTCCCTGTGATACAGACCAGGATAGGTCAATATACATCTAAACTGTAACTAATTCTCATGCCCCTGTGATACAGACAGGATAGTTTATTGTTTACCTAGACTAACTAATTCTCAGGTCCCTGTGATACAGACCAGGATAGGTCAATATACATCTAAACTGTAACTAATTCTCAGGCCCCTGTGATACAGACAAGGATAGTTTATTGTTTACCTAGACTAACTAATTCTCAGGTCCCTGTGATACAGACCAGGATAGGTCAATATACATCTAAACTGTAACTAATTCTCAGGTCCCTGTGATACAGACCAGGATAGGTCAATATACATCTAAACTGTAACTAATTCTCAGGCCCCTGTGATACAGACCAGGATAGTTTATTGTTTACCTAGACTGTAACTAATTCTCAGGTCCCTGTGATACAGACCAGGATAGGTCAATATACATCTAAACTGTAACTAATTCTCAGGCCCCTGTGATACAGACAAGGATAGTTTATTGTTTACCTAGACTGTAACTAATTCTCAGGTCCCTGTGATACAGACCAGGATAGGTCAATATACATCTAAACTGTAACTAATTCTCAGGTCCCTGTGATACAGACCAGGATAGGTCAATATACATCTAAACTGTAACTAATTCTCATGCCCCTGTGATACAGACAGGATAGTTTATTGTTTACCTAGACTAACTAATTCTCAGGTCCCTGTGATACAGACCAGGATAGGTCAATATACATCTAAACTGTAACTAATTCTCAGGCCCCTGTGATACAGACCAGGATAGGTCAATATACATCTAAACTGTAACTAATTCTCAGTTCCCTGTGATACAGACAAGGATAGTTTATTGTTTACCTAGACTAAATAATTCTCAGGTCCCTGTGATACAGACCAGGATAGGTCAATATACATCTAAACTGTAACTAATTCTCAGGTCCCTGTGATACAGACCAGGATAGTTTATTGTTTACCTAGACTGTAACTAATTCTCAGGTCCCTGTGATACAGACCAGGATAGGTCAATATACATCTAAACTGTAACTAATTCTCAGGCCCCTGTGATACAGACAGGATAGTTTATTGTTTACCTAGACTAACTAATTCTCAGGTCCCTGTGATACAGACCAGGATAGTTTATTGTTTACCTAGACTGTAACTAATTCTCAGGCCCCTGTGATACAGACCAGGATAGTTTATTGTTTACCTAGACTGTAACTAATTCTCAGGCCCCTGTGATACAGACCAGGATAGGTCAATATACATCTAAACTGTAACTAATTCTCAGGCCCCTGTGATACAGACCAGGATAGTTTATTGTTTACCTAGACTGTAACTAATTCTCAGTTCCCTGTGATACAGACCAGGATAGGTCAATATACATCTAAACTGTAACTAATTCTCAGGCTCCTGTGATACAGACCAGGATAGGTCAATATACATCTAAACTGTAACTAATTCTCAGGCCCCTGTGATACAGACCAGGATAGGTCAATATACATCTAAACTGTAACTAATTCTCAGGTCCCTGTGATACAGACCAGGATAGGTCAATATACATCTAAACTGTAACTAATTCTCAGGCCCCTGTGATACAGACCAGGATAGGTCAATATACATCTAAACTGAAACTAATTCTCAGTTCCCTGTGATACAGACCAGGATAGGTCAATATACATCTAAACTGTAACTAATTCTCAGGCCCCTGTGATACAGACCAGGATAGTTTATTGTTTACCTAGACTGTAACTAATTCTCAGGTCCCTGTGATACAGACCAGGATAGGTCAATATACATCTAAACTGTAACTAATTCTCAGGCCCCTGTGATACAGACCAGGATAGTTTATTGTTTACCTAGACTGTAACTAATTCTCAGGCTCCTGTGATACAGACCAGGATAGTTCATTATAAATATAAACTGTAACTAATTCCCAGGTCCCTGTGATACAGACTAGAATCGGTCCATATTCACTAGACGCTAAACTTATTTTCAGGTCCCTGTGTTTTTTTACACTGGTTTCATTAAGGACATGTTATGGAGAGGAAATCAGCTTCAAGACCGTAACTTAAAATGAAGCTATTTTTATTCAATGTTAAGGATAGTAAAACGGCTTCATTTTAAGTAACAGTCTTGAAGCTGAATAAAATATTGTTGTAGAATAAGATATGATTTCAAGGTTTAAGAATGTTCAAAGTTTGGAAAGATGCAAGCAATGCATGAAATATCATACACATATTTTTTTCTCTCTGCAGTGTATTGCTGCAAAATTCATGGTAATTAGGGGGGGATACATGTAATGGATTGATGTGTTCAATATGTATCGTGCTTTTCAACAATGTCTCCTCAGGTGGAAGTCCCCTCAAGTCAGAACAGCTGTTGACATGTTTTGAGCGAGCCTTTGAAAGAAGCAAGGAAGTTTTGAGACTCATAGAAGAGACAATTCTTAGTGTAGAAAGGTGACACGTGTAAATAAAGGTTTATAATAAATAATACTTTGTGTTTTTTCTTCGTAATTTTCAGTCGCTGAAACTTGATATGAAATGTGTAATGTATTATCTCTGATAACAGAGATTTGCTATCAATTGTCATTTATGTGTATTAAGACACAGACTGACTGAGCTGTTGGAATTTTGTACCTAGACCCTGTGATTGATACAAGCTATGTACGGTGTAATTACATCAACAGAAACATGTCAACAAATTATTTTGAAGCTAATAAATAAAAAGGGAAATTTGAACAATGATCTGAACATGTGAAAATCTTAACTCCAGGGAACACAGGAAACAGCTAAAAGGGAGTTCATAAGAAATGATTAACGTTGAGGTAACCACTTGTTTTATCAGCTTACCTGGCCTAACAATCCAAGTGAACTTCTGGCATATCGTTGCATCTACCGTCTGTCCGGTCTTCTATCCCTCCAGATTTGGTCAGAGTGTCCTTTTGCCAAGGGAACTGAATTTTATGTAAATCATGGGTCTCAGCCCCCTTGAGCATAAGGGGAAGGGTTCAATGATGTTAAGAAACTTTTTAAAAATCCTTCTTTGTCAGGTTTCTGTCCTGATTAGGTCTGAGGCACCCTAAGGTGGAGGAGAATAAAGTGTAATCCATGGATGTGGGCCCACTGAGGCAGGAGGGGAAGGGCCCAATAGGGGAAATGGAGCATATTCTGTAAAATAATTATTTCTCTTTAGGAATAGTGGAATTCAATCCAAATTAAATCTGACACAATATTTAATGAAAAGGAATCAATATTGCGGGTCAGAGATGCAGGGTCCAATAGGCGAAATGGATGAAATTCTTTAAAATCCTTTTCCCTTTGGTAAAATATCAGGATTCTGTCCCAATTTGGTGTAAAGCATCCAAGTGTGACAGGGAATCAATAAATAGTCTGTCTTTGCCCCTCTTGGTTGGCAGGATGTGGTCGAATAGGGGAAGTAGAGCAAATTCTTTAACTAAAGGAATTTTCACTAAGAATGCCTGAATTCTGCCCATATTTGGACTGAAATATCCTTGGTTGAAGGGAAATCTATTTGACATAAACAGTGGGTCTGGGGCTAGAGGGCGTAGTGCCATAGGGAAAATTGAGTTACTTCTTTTTGCTAATTCTGTCCTAATTCAATGTGAAACATCCTTAGGTAAAAAGGAATAAAATTTGTTGCCCCAGGGCAGAAGGGGAAGTGTAGCCCCAATAGGGAAAACAGCAATTTTTCAGAAAAAAATTCTTCATCTGTCAGAGTGCCAGGATTCTCCCAGGTTGGTCTTGTATAAATGGTGGGTCTGACCATCCTGGGGCAAGAGGAGGGGGGTCCAACAGGGGATATAGGTCAATTTCTTTAAAGACCTTTTTTCTTTTTGTTGAAATGTTAGGTTTCTGTCACAATTTTCTCTAAAGATTCTGTTGGTGAAGGAATATCAAATTTGTAAACACAGTGGTTATGTCCCCTTGGGATCGGAAGGGCAGGGCCCAATTGGGGAAATAGAGCAAATCATTTCAAATCCTTTCTCTCCTTCTTTAGGAATGGCTGTATTCTGTCCCAATTTGGTTTGAAGCCTGCTTGGATGATGGAGACTTAAAAAATGGTTTAATCAACGTCCTGGGGCAGAGGTGTGAGACACAATAGGGGAAATAGATATAAACCTTGAGAATTCCTTTTCCTATAATTACACCAGGCTATTTCAGAGAAATAGCTGGGTGAGTAATGCAGGCCTTATTGGCCTTTTGTTGGTATTGCAACCGTTTGTGGTTGTACGACTTTACTGCAGTTAGACTCCTCCTTCCCCATTAAAAGGGAGAAAACCGATGCAAAACAGCATTTTCTTATAAGTATTACACAGTTTCTATATAAAAACCATTTGTTTATAATAAATTATTAGAATGGAAATTTTTCCAAGAAATTTGAGTAAAAGTTTGGTTATATTAATTCTTCTAGACAATAGTATGCCCAACACTACAGTTTCATTTTCTGTACACTAATGGATATCACACTCGAAAAGGAGTTCAGTGAAAATTAACCAAATTACATGTTTTTCTCAATTTTTTATGCGTGACTTTTCTTTTTTGTACCACATGAACTCTCTGCCTGCTTGGTTGAAATCCCGTGTCTTTTATGCGTTCATTTGTACGTATCATTTTTACTCAACATTAACTTTTAAATTTGACTATTTTCTTATCTTCTAAACTACAGATCAGATTTAAATATGTTCATGATAGTAAAAAATATACTTCGTGCACTTGGAGTTGGAAATCATAGCCATTTTATTAGGGTGAAGGTCAACATCAGTCAGTCAGTTACACGTTCGCCCATAATAACACGACACAAAGATAATGTCAAGGACAAGGAAAGGTAAGACATTTTATTTTATTGTACCCTTCGATGTTGGCATGCTATGTTGAGGTCAAAGTTTAAAGGTTATCTTTGAACTTTTATAGCCAGTAGGGACAATGGATTTATTTAACCGTACTTCGGTTTTACTTCTTCTGATCTTCAGCAATTTCAGCTCATAATGCCAGTTTACCATTTTTCATGAATGTAGGTTTTATCGCAAATCAGAAGGCTGTACTTGATGTATCCTTTAAGATTACGACATTGAATCGCCTGACGACGCTAGATGCGCTGCTAAGCTACTTTTTTCTGACATACATTTGTTGTCAGTCATGGAATTTATTGGATATTATCCATAGGAAACGTTTATAGAATGAATTCACGAGGAAACAAGCGTCTTTTGTTCCAACATCAACAAGATTTCGTTTATCTTGGTCAAAACGACAAGACCGTTAGTCCAGAGTCGTTCTTTATGGAATTATGACGGACCAAGACATCTGTAATTACCGCCGTTTACTTTATAACTTTAACTAGAAATCTGTAGGTCCATCAGGATGAAGCCTAAATGTTTCAGTCAGATATTTGTATGCAATTATGATAATGCAGTAAGAAAAAGCAGTACGTAGTTTGCAGAATGAAGTTGATAGCTAGCAGGCGAAAATGTTTGCAGGAAATGGATAGCAAAACAATTGAAATATAGCATGCAGTAAGCGGTCTAGCGGACAGATGATATTTACAAAAATAGTATGATGTATTGCTAGTGTTCTATCTAATTATTTAAACCAGATCCATAGAAGACATCCCTTCCAAGAATACTCTAGAGAGATATAGTCACCATACATTGTAACAAGGTTTAGCCCTCGAACTTGTTCAGACGTGTGTGACTTTTCTATATAGGTTCCATATACTTCAACATTACCAGGAAGTTAACTATAGTTCTTGGACTCTAGGGCTCCAAGCACGTGGACGAAGGTGAAGGCCTTGATACGAGTCAGCGGCGTCCACTGAAGAGACATAGACTCCGAGACGATTCGTTACGGTAAAATAAGTCCTAATTGTACATTATTGCTACTGATATATGCTACTAAACATTGTTTTCAAATCAGCAGAAGTCGTTTTCATTGTTTCAGCTTGCACAGACCACGACATTATTCACCTGTCAATTCACGGGATCTGGGTTGTTACAATCTGTGAGACCGAAACTTGAGCCGATATTGGTGACTGTATACACATAGACATAATATTGTCACCACAATGGTTTCCGGTGGCTACTTATAAACAGCGACTTAAGGTATATATATATATAAACCGGTTAAACAGGTTGAAAAAACCCTCTGTAATAAGTAGCGGAAACCGAAAGTGCATTCATTGAACTCAAACAGGTAAACTGTTTAATTCTTTATACGGAAGAGCATAAGGACCAGGCAGAGAAAATTTATTTCTTTTTTCATGTTATCTCGAAATTTCAAATTATCAAATGGAAACTTACTTGATTTTACGGGTTATTGACATGAAAAAATGAAACTATTTTTTCTCTGCGTGACCCTAATGCTCACCCGTAGTGTTAGCTGTGTAGCCGCACCATTTAAATAAACAAAATACATAATTGATATAAAATTTTGAATTGTGATTGAATTGATCACAGTAACAATTTATAGGTTACTACTGCTGGGAAAAATGTCAAATTCAAGTCACAACGGGCTGTCATCCACACACAAACAGGTATACCAACCCTGACGAATTTTTAATAAGATGCATGCTTAATACCTTCAATTTCATGAAAAAAATGATAAGATGTGATCACACTATTTCATGTTTAGCATATCCTGACTATCAAATCCTATTGAATTCCGTAATCATCATTGTGCTTACCTTGTCAAACAAATGTTTTTGAATATTCTTAAGTATTGTCAGAGATCACGATTAAAATAAACGGAACGAAAATAACAGTTTGTCTTTCATAATAAACGATAACCGGGTCCAAAGGCCCGATAAACTGATGACATCGCGCGACGCTGGTTCTTCTTCCATTCGGCGTCTGTCTACTTTCCCCTTTAAATCGAAAACGGCCAAGCGAATTTTGACCAAATTTGGACATGAGCATCCTTGGGGGAGGGAAACAAACTTTATAATGGCGGATTTCGGTGCACTGAGGAAATTTAGCAAGTTCTTTGAAATCTTTCTTCTTCTGTCGGAAGAATTGGTTTGGGCCAGGTTAGTCTAAACAATCCTTAGGCGAAGGAGATTGTATCAATGGGGCCAAAGGGGTGGGGCCCAAAAAGGGAAATAGAGGAGTTGCTTGAAAATTCATGTTCTGACGAAGAAATTTTAAAAATCAAATTTGTTCAGAAGCACCCTTTAGGGGGATACATGGTGAATCTCAGCTTCTGGGTTCTGAGGAATGGGACCCAGAAGCTGATATATGAGTAAATTCCTCAAAATCCTTCTCTTAAGATGAAGATATTTTAACCAATTTTTTTTCAGAAGTATCTGACTGATATATCTCGGGCCCCCTAGGGGCAAAGGGTGAGGACTCAATAGGGGAAATAGAGGAATCAATTGAAAATCCCTTTTCTGTCGGGATGAAGATATTTTGACCAAATCTGATCAGGAGGATTATTTTGGGAAAAAACTTGACCCGAAGCATTCTTTTTGGCCTCCAAGGA